AAAATAAAACTCTTTAAAGCCAAAATTACTGTAAAAAAAGCAAAAACAACTTCTACTCAAATTAATATTTTTGTCAATTGCTGTGTTCGTACAGTAAAATTTAAAAATCTTGGTACGTACGTAATTTATTTACTCCTACTTATTTAACTAAACATTATGTTTTTTGGTTCTTATTTTATAGTGGACCCTGCAGATAGAAATTTAGAAATAAAAATTAACTGTTATAAATTATTTTTTAAGACTGGATATGCAACCAATTATTCACTTGTACAAGTGATATGATCCGTGAACGCAAATCTTTAAAACCGCGTTATGCGCAACATTCAAATTGATGAAAAAGGTTACAAAATGATCAATAAAATTAAACTACGCGTACATCTGTATTTTTTTTTTAATTAAATTTATTTTATAACAAAGAAAAAGACAAAAGTAGGATGTTATGACGATCTTTTTACAGAATTTTTTTTTAATTTGACATTTGCGATAGCTGAAGATTATGCTGCCATCTGTTAAATTAACGTTTATTCTTCAGAAATCCGTTCATTGGTAATTTCAAGAACAAGTTACTACATCTTACTACTGTTACAGCAATCAATCAGTGAAGACCATTCATTAAAACCGTCAAAAATTAATTAAAGTTCAAACTGTTCTTCTTGTGTGATTGTTTATGACAATGGCAGGGAAAATAATTAACATTTTCGATCCCCCGTCTTCGGCAAGTTCAGAAAGGTAAATAATTAAAAATACACGAATAATTTGTCGAAAACCCATACCAGAAATGTTTAATTTATAAACATCTACCGTGTAAATTACTCAACGTCTAATTTTAGTTCTAAATTTAAAAAAACAAACGTATCAAATCTTCACGTGGCGAGCTAACCTACACCAAAAATGAATATGCATTTTCTTTATTTAGTCAGCATTTTAGTAATAAATCTATTTGCAAAACCAAAAGCGATGTTGCTGAAACTCAGGCGGATTTTTCCGAAGTGTTTCCCGACTGTGAAGGGGATGAAGAGAAAAGCGGCGATTTTTACAACACTCCAGCATCGCCTATAACAGTTCCGTACTGTCCTAGGCCCCCATCTACAGGTAATCCTCCCCACAAAAAAGCCCCAATTGAATGCTCCACTGGCAGGGTCGCAGAAATCCCCGAGGTCCCGTAGACAACGAACCACATCACTGAACCAATCTTCAAAGAAATCAGCTGCAGAGTCGATGATACGCACGCAGCATCGCACGATCTACACAGCGGGCAGGCCCCCATGGTACAACAGTGAAGGTCAAAAGGTAGAGCCTCTGATCATAGGTGAGTGCAAGGAAAACGCTCCAATTTTCATTAATAAACACCGATCACAGGGATTTGTGGTGGAAGTGCCTCTGGGAAAACGACAGTAGCTGAGAAAATAATTGAGGCTCTGGGGGTGCCATGGGTCACTTTACTCAGTATGGATTCGTTCTACAAAGTCCTAAATGAAAAGCAACGCGAGATTGCCAACAGAAACGAATACAATTTTGACCATCCTGACGCTTTCGATTTTGATCTCTTATTCAGCACTTTACAGAGATTGAAAGAAGGGAGGAAAGTCGAGGTCCCGATTTATAATTTCGTGACACATGCACGTGAAAGTAGGACGGTAAGGATATTATTTTGCCTCAGGGTGGTATGTTTTATTTTTGGGTTGTTCTGTAATCTCAAAACAAAGTACAGGTCTTTCATTGTAAAGAGGGCTGCGTTTCTGCATTACCAAGTTAATTTCTAAATTACACTCTTGAGTTAGGTTTAAATTCAGTTTAAAAGCTTATCGAAAATGACCACAGTCAAATGGGCTCTCAAAAGTATGCTGCGCCTTTCAGAAAATTTCGATTTAAAATGGACTATAATCTGAGGTTATACAGGCAACATTAAACTAATCCGGAGATAGAAGTATAAAAAATTGAATTTCGTATCATTTGTCTCTATAATATTTTGTTATGCCAACTTAATTAATTTCAAAATCATAGGCTCCTCTGGCATGCCGAAATACATAAATTCACTTTTTAAAGAGGAAAAAAATGTCTCTACTTTTATGACAGGGTTTATTAAGCCTACAGTTCAAATTATGGTGTTCTAAGGAAAAGATATCGTAATACTTTTTTGACAGATAGTTTGATATCATAATTTAAAAAATGTCACTGTCATGTGTTGTTATTTGCTTTCTTAATAGTCATAAACGTAAGCAACATTGTAAATGTTTGTATTTGCATTTACAATTAACATTTATCAACTAATATGACGTATATCACTTTGATAAAAACTACCTGTTTCCATTATTACTGGAATTAAAAAAAAATAAAATGAAATAGAGAACCAAGTGTTGAGACCGCTTTACAGTGTTCTTTGAATTACTCCAAGACATAATTCAAAACGTTTTTGATAAACGATAGAGGATTAAATAAATTTTTTTGTATACGCTCCCGAAAACAGCTGTTTTAGGGACTCATTTGAGTCTCTAAAATGAGTCTTTTCCGGACTCAATAAAATAGTACGCAAAACGGTTATTTTAGGTATTCAGTCCCCAAAAATAGTTTTTGTGGACTAAAAAATAAAATTGTTTACTATGGTAACGAAATTTTCTTAATTAGTAACAGGTGTGAATTCGTGTTTTGGGAGCTTTAACAAAAAAAATCTTGTATGCAAAAGGTTTTAGGTGACTCCTCTCATTAATTACGATTCGTAATTATTCGTAACCCTATTTTGCGTACTTGATACATAAATAACTATTAATTTGATGTTTTGATATTGTACAAAATTTTTAGCGTATGACAGTGAGACCTTAAAAATTAAATTTAGAGAAAAAAATGTCTATTAACTAGAATATTTTCTATATGATAAATTTTTTTGATTTTTTTTCTGTGGTATTTGTGAAAATAGACTAATGATAAAATTGTTTTGAATAATTAACATTTTAATATTGAAAATCTGAAATAATAATAATTATGGGGGGGTTTGCGGTAATCGGTGATCAGGCCAGAATTTCTTGTTAAAAGAAAAAGATCCACAATGACATTTATGGTATATTAACTTTTTTTTAACAACTTTTACATTATTCAATTTTCACTGTTACCATTAGGAAAAATCAAGAAATTTTATCATGTAGAAAGGATTCCAATTTTTTTCAAATTTGGTTTTTAGGGTCTCACTGACATACGCTAAAAATTGAAGTCTTCTAACGTTTGCACCATTAAAATTCTTTTTTTTTTTGGCGCCGGCCCTAAAACTTGCGACACCCTGTACAATAGAATTTAGCAGTCCATAAATACAAATTAAATATATCCATTTGTTAAAGGTTAATTTTTTTATCATTCAATTTCCTGGTCAAATCAATTAAAATGTCAAAGTCTAATTGGTACTTTTGCACATAGCAAAAGCAGATTTATAAATCAGGTCAAGGTTTTGCTACTGAATTTAAAAAAATGTAGTGGTCATGATAATCCTTAATAGGCTTTCTGCTGACAAAAGATAATATGTCAGAATTGTCTGTGAACTCAACCGTGTATTTTAAAATTTATTTTTATAATCATTAATTCATTATGCACAACACTGATAAGTTTTTATTTGTTAATTTACCAGTTATTCAGCAGTGGAACAATCTTATTATTCGACAATTATCAACTAAAAGTTAAAACTGAATATTTTTGCTTTGTATTTAACAATAACAAATTTAATGTCCATGATTTGTTGTCGTAATTGCCATCCACTGATTGTTGATTTTTTCCTATTAAAAGTCTCAGCTTGGACATTCTACAGGCGTATCAGAATTGCAAAGACAAGTTTTAAAAAATCTTTATACAGTAGTGCTTATTACAATTCCTAAAGCACACCACCCTGTATATCGGCGAAAACTAATGTAGTTAGTTTTAGAAAACCATGTATGGAGCAAACGTGATAATATTCGAAGGGATTTTCTCGTTTCACAACCTGAAAGTGCTGGAAATGTTAGACATGAAAATCTTCGTCGACACCGACGCAGATGTACGTCTAGTCCGTAGATTAAGAAGGGACATTAGTCAGAGAGGTAGAGACTTAGATGGCGTCCTTAAACAATACTGTGGTATGGTTCAACCATCTTTCAATCATTACATCGCACCACTAAAAGTCCACGCCGATATAATCGTACCAAGAGGCGGAGAGAACGAAGTAGCCATCCAACTCATAGTTCAACATGTTCATACGCAATTGCAGTTGGTGTATACTCTAACACCTTAAATAGTTTTTTTACTAATTGAGTTTTGTCATTAGCGCGGGTTCAAACTGAGGGAAGAATTGGCGCAAATACATGCCAGGTCTGGCCAACCTAGACCCGACACCCTAAAATTGCTACCAACCACACCGCAAATCAGGGGACTTCACACCTTCATCAGGAATAAAGACACACCCAGGGACGAGTTTATTTTTTACAGTAAACGTCTCATTCGGCTTGTGATTGAGTATACTTTATCGTTGATGCAATTCAATGAGAAAATAGTAGAGACGCCCCAAGGTGTACAGTATAAAGGTAGAATCCGAGGATTTTTTTTTAGTATTATGATTGAGTGAACTTTTCAGGGAAACGAATGGCAACTGATAAAATCTGCGGCGTTTCGATATTACGAGCCGGTGAGACTATGGAGCAAGCTGTGTGTGATGTGTGCAAAGATATTCGTATAGGAAAAATTTTAATTCAGACCAATCTACAGACGGGAGAACCTGAGGTAAATTATTCATCACAAATGAATATATAAACTGACCAGGCATATCACGTTTCAGTTGTATTATTTAAGACTTCCGAAAGACATTAAAGACTACAAAGTCATATTAATGGACGCGACTGTAGCCACAGGAGCTGCAGCAATGATGGCAATTAGAGTTCTGTTGGACCATGATGTTCCAGAGAGCAACATACTTATTGTGTCTTTACTTATGGCAGAATCTGGAGTAAATTCAATAGCATACGCGTTTCCCAAAGTTCAAATTGTTACCACCGCTATTGATCCGGAAATAAACGATAAGTTTTATGTCCTCCCAGGTATGGGGAATTTCGGGGATAGGTATTTCGGAACTGAACCTTCAGACGATTTGTTACTATAGTTCCAAACTTAATTACTTTGAAATTCGCAACAAACTGATAGGTAACTTTGGACAATATATTTTATTTCTTGGTGGTTCATATTTATTTAAACTGTAGGTATCTATTTTACCGACTTGCCATTGATAAAAAGATTACCAATATTGTTATCAGCAGTACTTAATGCTTATAAGGCTGTGTTTACTAGTTATTTAATTGTTTAAAAATTACTACATAAAGTCAACGTTCGTTCCTTCATATAATATGTAAAGAATCATTGGAAACAATCTTTAGAGTGCACCATTTTATCATGGGTGCAGGCATAGTTGGCTAGTATTTTTTAAACCAAATCTGTATTATAATGATTTTATAACTGTATTTAAATTGTGAGAATAAAACTGCACATTGAATTTAGTTTTTATTAATCAACACTAAAACAAATTTATTACTAGACTACCCAGCAGCAACTAAATTTTTAGGTGCTCTAAAATCGTAGCTTTCAATTTCGGGATGTTCCTCACAGATTACTTTGTAGGCGTAGCAAATGCGGGCAAATTCTTCATTTGTTATTTCAAAAGGGCGAATTCTGGAGTCAACATCAGCCAGAGCAAACAGTTTAAGAACTGAAAAAACGAATTATTTAAAAAATGATATCACAGTCTTGTTTATCCTACATTTTAAAAATAAACACATTAATACAGTGTATCATAAATTTGTATATATAAGGTGATTCACTAGGAATAATGAGCCTGACCAAATTCTCGATGCAACCACCATTACTCTTCGCAATTTATTTTGCGACAACTGTAATGTTGGTTGCATCGAAAATTTGGTCAGGCTCATTATTCCTCGTGAATCACCCTGTATATTAGTTATTATAACTTAACTGTGTAGATGTTTTAGTGTTCTTAATTTTTAAATAAATTTTGCTTATCTTGAGAAACATTCTTTTTTAAAGACGTTTTGTGTTGAATGTAAATTATTGTTTAGCATGTTTGATAAGCTTTTCTTTCAAAATTTTTATCAGATTTTTTATCTATTTTCCCACAGATGTGAAACACTCTGCACATCTGAAATAAGTTATAATACGTGTCAAAATTTCAAATATGAAACAAAACATAACAAAATAATAGAATATGAGAAAAAATACCTAATTCGTCCCGCTTCTCCTCTGGGAAAAGTCTCCCTCCTCCTTTGATGGAATACTTTTGCCGCATGTTGAAGACAGTCCTGATAATTTTCTCAACCATTTTAAAAGGTAACTTAACCAAGGGATGTTTCTTAGGAACTAGAGTAACAACTCCAACATCAACATCTGGTTTTGGAACAAAGGCCCTCCCTGGAATCGTAAATTTGTGTTCTACATCGCACCAGAATTGGCACATCACAGAGAGTCTACATCTCTGTTCGTGAGTCACTGGAGCGACGATTCTTTCGGCAACTTCCTTCTGGAACGTTAAGGTCATTGTAGAGCGTCCAAAACTCCACGCTGATCTTTGTTCTGAGATGGCATGAAGCCACCGAATGATCAAATTTGTGGAGACACTGAAGGGCAAATTGCCAATGAGGTGAATGGGGGGTGGGTAATCCGTCCATTCTCGTGCAGGAGCACCCGCGAAACCATCCTCGAAATTAAAATCCCGAATATCCTGAATGTTTATCCCCATTTCGACATGACTCTGACTAGCCTCTTTGAGCAACTCTAGGATGGGCACAAATCGGGGGTCTTTTTCGACTACGATGAGCTTCTTGGGGCCCCTCTTAATGATGGATCTTGTTATACTGCCAGGTCCAGGGCCCACCTCACAAACATAGTGATTGCGGATATTTCCAGCTGCTTTGACGATTTTGTCTGTAATCCTTTCATCGAGAAGAAAATTCTGAGATAGCTGACGCAAAGCCCTTAATTTGTACAACTTAATTAAATCCCTCACTGTGGGCAAGGGAGGTAACCTAAGATTGGCTGCTGCCATTGCTACTTTGCTGGATCTGTTACTGTGGTTGGAATTTCAAAGTCGTCGAGGAAGTTCTCTTGTCGCACTGCCCAAATAGAATAGCCGTAAATGCCCAACACTGCAGTTCCAAGAATACTAACTGTGAACAAGTTCCTTCTTCGTAGGGTTTGCAATTTTCGAACTCGATCTAAATTCTGCTTTTCGACGAATTTTATAAAATCTATATCTGTTTGTTTCAGTTTAGAGCGGTCGATTTTGGGCATACGATCACTCTCTGACATCGTAAATATGAATTATTTTGGGATTTTTGAGATGAGAATTGCAGACATAACCTCTAAAGTTCACGTAACCGGTGGAAACTGTTGCGTTGCGAATTGCGATTTACGCTACGCTATCTTTGACGCAACGCGGTGTTTCACAACCCAGGGACATTCTCCCATAAATTATGGTTTAAAAATTCAACCATTCTTAGCAATTTAGCTCGTTTTGAAGCTAGAAGTAGGCTCAAATTGAGAATCAATTGTATGTTGTATGTCCGGGTCATTTAAAATATCGCGTAAACCAGCCTTTATATATACTTACTGTTTTTTTTTAATTATAAATTATATTTTTATTCTTTTTGTGGGAAAAAATAAAATGCAAAAATTGCATTCAAACTCTTTATTTTTGTTAATTCTTAAAACGTATCAATACAAAATCGTGTGAGATAATATCAAATGAACACAAACAATTAGATAATTACTGAAAATCCATTCGTTTTCGGACAAAAATTTTATTCCTTTTCTTCATGTATAATTTATTTAACTGCTCAGAAAAGATTGAATTCTTAGGATTCTTCTTGATCATCAGCATTACACAAATATTCACAAAATACAAAATTAAAAATATTGCGTCTTTTTTATTATGATTTTTTAATGGTCGTTTACAACAGGGAAGTTAAAAAAAATATTTTAAAAAATTAATTTAATATCAGAAAGTGTAGTGTACAACGCAAATTTCCTACTAAATGAAAATAAATAAAGTAGACATCAAACATGAAATAATTTTGAAAGTGGAACCTTTCTATAAAATTGTTAAATTCGCAATCATAATAAATATAAATTATATTTGAAATGTTACAAAAATGAACAACGTTTTAAATACTCTTACACATTTGAAACATAACAGAACAAGCACAAGCATGTTGAAACCTTACTTAAATTTAATTATATTTAGTGTATCACAGAACTATCGAAAAGTACTTGCAGATGTTTTAACACTTAAAATGTAAAAGTACTTATACGTGCTATATTGAACATTACACACATCATCTACTTATACACCTAGCAGCACAACACAAACTGTAAAGCTCAATGATAAACTTGATTACAAAGTTTCAAATATTGTGTAATTTCTAAAAGTGAAATGCCACAGAGTACAGGAATGGCTCAATTTGGGAGTACAAAAGTGTAGATATAAATGTACACACATGTAAAGATGAATCGACGTCGATATATATATTTTTGATTGAAATAAAATTGTATAAGTAGCACAACCTCCTGTCATGAATATGTTTTGTAAAAAACTCACTTAACAAATCTAAAAATTCTATTTTGTATAAATAAATTTGAAAAAGGGACTGGGTAAATTGTAACAATAAAGCTAAATTGTTCCCTTTACTACATTCTTGTAAATTTAGATATCAAGTATATACCCTCATAAACTTGTATGAAAATAACACATAAAACTTCAGCCTGAGAAAACAAATTGGAATAACATCTATTAGCTGCAAAAAATCATAAATTGGTCCATTAAAATGTGCAAATGATTGAAATAAAAATGCTAACTCCTAAAGCAACTGGTGGTAACACACATACACATCTTGAATATTTTACGAAAGCTAACACATACACATACTATTCTACATGATTATGAGATTGTTCTTGTCATCTCAATCCGTGATCAATTTTCGACAGACAAATTATCCTTAATTGGAACACACTCTTTGACTTAAATAAATTTATTTTAGGTCTTGCTTTCTATAAAGAAATTAGAACAGTTTTCTTGATCAGATGAAAACCATCTTATTTTGTCGTAAGTTGTAAGTAGATTTTTCCTTATGTAAAAAAACGATGTGTAGAAAATCGTTACTCAGGTCAATAGACAAATCAGATTTTTGCACATTCTAAGGGGGCCTATCTAAAGGGGGGAAAGTTGAAGAGGCAGCTAATAGCAGCGGGACTTCGCCCCAGGCCCCCCCTTATGTCATACATATTCCAAAGGAGATCGTTTGCCTTTCCCTCGCTGTTCGAGAAGCCGCTCAATCAGTTTCTTTATTTCGGAAAAGACCCAAACTGAAGATGTTAGTGTAGTTAAAAATATCATATCTAAGATTAAAACAATTAAACCAAAAAAATGTTAAATAAAATTCCTTTACCCCATAATGTAAGAGCTTCGGTTTGAAATATTCGCTGCAAAGGTGGAAAATAAACAACTAGAAGTTGTCCAATTACAGAAAGTGTAACTGCCACTAAAAACATTTTATTGGAGAACAAACCGATCTGGAAAACACTTTTCGTTTGAGATCGGCAAGACAAAGCGTTCCACATGTCGAAAAATACGAAACAAGTGAACGTCATTGTTGTATCGCGCGCTGTAATACCCTCCGAACTCATCTAAAAAATCAAATTTGTAACACTGTGGACAATTTACATCAACACACCTCTTTTTTGAAAACCCACAAAGTTCCCGCTATTATAAATAAGGCGGAAAGTAAGACGTTTCCAATTAGTTTCTTTGTAATCATCGGTTCTTTAGTATTTCGAGGTTTTTGTTTAACAACGTCTTTTTCAACAGGTTCTACGCCCAAACTTTGGGCTGGAGGACCGTCCATTATTATGTTAATCCACAAAATCTTAAAAATAAAGAAAAAACGGTAAAAATTCTCAGAGTTTTTCACAACATAAGCTTACTTGCATGGCATTTAAAGGATTGGGAATTCCCATTAAAGTTGCTAATGCGATTAATGATAAAGCCGCAATAGATGTAGATAATTGAAACCTGACAAAATTTCTGATGTTGTAGAATATGCTTTTGCCCTCTTCAATTGCAGCTCTGCAAAAGAAAATTACAAGTTTTATAATACTAAAGTCTGTTTTTTTTTTTAATGGAAATGCCAAACAGTTTTAACGTTGGCATCACTAGTAATTTCATTCATGGTATTTTTAATAAAGAAAGTTGGCAGTTCCGGTTTTTTGAATTAATTTGAAAACAATGTCATTAAACGTCAACACAAAAAATCGTCTAAGAAAATTTAGAGACGAAACACCAAAAAAAGGAACAAATTCGGTACCGCTAACAGTTTTTCGAAATTTGGAAACAAATAGTTCGCAATCAGGAAGTTAGAAAAAGGGCCCGCTAAAATGTAGACGCAATTTGTAATGTAGGTTTGCTAAACATTCTCAATTTTTAGCAAGAAATTGACAAAAATACAAAATAAACATGGATGAGAAAGAACCTTGAAAAAAAAACGAGTTGAAAAAGTAACAATTTTGAAACTAATGCTGAAGAAAAATTTATAAAATGCATCAACTTTGAGCTCATTTCAATAAATTACACAAAATTTATTGCCAATCATCATAATACCCACTTGTATATTTTGCTAAATAACTTTTTTCTGTATATACATCCTTTTTCTTCAAAGTTTTTGTAGCAAGAATCTCATTTTTATCCACAACATAAAAGTCAAAATTTTGACAACATCTCAATTTGAATACATAACCATAATTTTTTAACAAAATTTCTAGGGACAAAACCAAAGAGCAAACAAAATTTGTGGCTATGGAGACAAGCTGTCACCAATTTTTCACTAAAATTTTGACTTGGTAATTTCCATTTAAAAAAAAACAGACTTTAGATACAATGTAACAAGTTGTATTGAAAAACAGATTTCCAATTTAGTTGATTTTTAAATGTTTTTTTTTATACGGAGATTTCAATATAAATGTAACTAAAAAGTCCCTAATTTAACTTAAATTGTACCAATGTTTTTAACTTTGTTTTGTAAAAAAAATGAATAAAAATTTACGCTTGGTGTTTATGTTTCGTTAATATTGTCTTCAGAAAAAAAAAAGAATTGAGATCAGCCTAATATCATATTCACGGTGTGTGCTTAAAACATTGATAAAAAACTTACATAATTGTGTAAAAATCATCATCGACGAGTATCATATCGGCGGCTTCTTTACACACATCTGTCCCATTTTTGCCCATGGCAATTCCAATGTCGGCTTTTTTAAGTGCTACACCATCATTTACCCCATCACCGGTCATCCCCACGATATGACCAGTCCTCTGTAACGACTTGACAATTGCTAACTTATTTTTCGGTGATACTCGATAAAAAACTGTAGCATGAGGTATTGCAGCATCCAAATCGGTTTCAGTAAACATATCAAGTTGTTCGCCCGATAACACCTGAGAGGGCAAAGTTTCCAATCCTATCGTCTGAGCTGTGAAAAATTCAACATTCAAAAAAACACACTTACGAGAAATTTTATTACAAACCAATAGCAACTGCTGTATCTTCAGCGTCTCCAGTAACCATCTTCACTTGCACTCCAGACTGAGAGAGAGTAGTGATAGCTTCTCTGACCAGAGGTCGCGGTGGGTCACAAATACCCACAATTCCCATATAAGTCAAGTCTTGCAAAGTGGGGCCACGAGCCATCGCAATGACTCTTAAACCCTTCCTGCCTATTTCATGAGCTTCTGCAATAAAGTCTTGCTCTTTCTTGCTGGTGAGACTTTGCGTTCCACCGTTCCAACTGAATTTCGTACATTTTGGTAGTATTTTCTCGATGGCACCTTTGACAAAAAATATCTCGACTTTGTCGTTATCATATTTCGATATGCATTTGACGGCCATCATTTTTTGGTCAGACGTGAACGGATATTCTTGAACTCTGACGTACCGGTCTGCGACATTGTACATTCCGTGTTTCATTGCAGCGGCGATCAAAGCGCCCTCGGTCGGTTGGCCCAGTAAAGTTTCGTTATGAATAACAGCGTTATTGCAAACAGCTCCTACCTAATAGTAACTACGTTAAAAATTTCATAAACTGATTATTTTAATATCAATACCTCTAATAATTTATATACACTATCCCTAGCCCTGTCTGAAGAATCACATTTGTGTAACAATACTTGGCCGTGGTCGTTGTAGCCGGCACCTGTTAATTCGGCGATGTAACCGTCAGCTGTTACTAGTACTGTAACGGTCATTTCGTTACGAGTTATAGTGCCTGTTTTATCAGAACATATCACATTGACACAACCCAGCGTTTCAACAGTTGGTAGTTTCTTTACAATAGCGTTCCTTTTAGCCATTCGCATTACGCCCAATGCCAGTGTTACCGTCACGACAATTGGTAACCCTTAAAAAAGTAAAAATACGTAAAAAGTAATGGAAAAATCATATGAAAGATTATAAATTTTTGCATGAAAAACCTTAAAATAGTGATTTTGCTAATTCAATAACGACGCATGGTTTTTAATTTCTTTTTCAAGGGTATAAAAACATTGTTACAAAAGTCAGTGCGATCAAAAAATCTTTCCATTAAGCAAGCCAAAAATTGAGAACGTGCATCTATAAAATGTTCCAATGAGAAATAAGAAATGTCAAAATAATTTTTATGTACATTATGACAGGAAACCAACATCTCATTTTACAAAGTTTTGATGAGCCGTTTCACAGAATAGTTCAATTTGCTTATAATTTTTACAAAATATTTTTTTGACATCAAGCTAACGTACGATCTGCATACTTGATAGAAAGACGACTTTTTTAAGTTAAAAATTTTGAAAATGTTGCTAAGATGTCAACATTCATTTATAACTTGAAAAAATGTATAACTAATGAGTAGAGTAATTGAAAAAAATTAATAAAAAATTTCCAACAACCAAGCGTTTTATTGAACGTTCAATCCTTTTGTATTTGTTATTAAATTTTATAAATATGTATTTAACACACGAACTAAAGAACCAATCAGAATAAAACAATACTCTAAAAACGATTTATTAATAATAATTAAATAAAATGGGGAGGATTGTGATGAAACAAAATTATTGGGAATTTCTAACATTTTAAGAACATAGTGAGATAAAAATGAAAACAAATGCTTTAATAAAGAGAATTAGATTTTATAATATTTGTTTGTTACTTATCTATGTTATTTAATATAATTCATTTCCATAACACCTCTTTTAAATTTCTCATTAATAACAACCAAAGATTTAAAATATTTGTTAAGAATGAATTGTGTAAATTCCCTTAATATTAATTTATTTTCTTCTACAACATTTTATATTTTTAACAATTTATACATATTTTCTCCAAAAATTGACTTTTCTTTAATATTAGCAATACCTTCTGATTTTTCTATCTGCAAAATGACAACAAAAACAATCTAATTGCTTCTCATTGCGTGTTTCATCCCTCCACGGTTTCATTATAAATGCTTAAAAGCCACGTGACCAAAATAAATAGAATAATTTGGAAACCAATTTAAAATGTCTGAAAGTATTGGTGTCAAGAGTCACATGAGTCTTGAAGACACCAAATCACCGACAGTATACAGTTGGAGACAAAATACTTTGGTCGTCATTTTTCTGACACTTTAATGTAATTCAAACTTTAACGTTAAAATGAATGACAATTTTAAATTAATCACAGTTATTGTATTTTTCTATCAAAAATATGTACATACAACTGTCAACTATGATTGACAGTAGCTAAAAATAAGGTTAAAAGTCCTAAAGCATGCTTTACAATTTAATGTCACTCAAGTGACATTGACGACCAAAGTATTTTGCCTCCAACTGTACATTCAAATAAAAATAAAGTTTGAAACCACAAGTTAGAAACGCAATAATTTTGTAAATTCTGTTTAAATTGAAATTTTAGGTATAGATAAAGTGCTGTGTTTCAGAAATGTTTTTCAAAGAAAATACCACTCAATATATTGTTTAACTGGTAGCAAGTATTTTTCGTAATATGTACCTGGGTAATCAGATAATAATAATTAAGCATAACAAAGAGAAATGAATTTATTAAGCTCCAATTTAGTTCACATAATAAAAATATCTAAAATCTTCACGTGTTTTTTTTAATCCGTATTAAGAAATAAGATGACTCAATTTTATTATTATCACCTGTAATACTTGGCAAGCATTTACGTATTTATTTACGTCAATGGTCCTAATCGAATTATGTTATCTGTCAAATCACTAGTAAAGATTTAATCAATAAATCAATATTAATACTCGTAAAACCACCACTCAATGAATGACACGCTAATTCTCCAAACCCACCTTCTGGAATTGCTGCCACTGCCAAACTCACGCCAATCGTAAACATCTCCATTATTGCTTTGCCTTGCAGCCATCCAACCAACATAATTAAACCTATAATACCGAACGAGTAAATAGACAATTGAGCACCCAAACTGTCCATCGACTTCTGCAGAGGCGTTTTCGGCGCCTCTTCCTCCAACATCATYTTAAACACCGAACCGAATTCGCTGTTGGATCCCGTACTAACAACAATTCCCTTCAAAATAACACAAAAATAATAACAAAACAATGTAAAATGATGCTTTACTTTGCCGTTTCCGCAGCGGACAAGCGTCCCCATAAATGCAATGTTAGTGTTAGAAGAATGCGCCCCATTTGGACGCAACACTGAAGCGACATTTTTCCTCGCCGGTTCTGTCTCACCAGTAAAACTACTCTCATCGATCATCAAATCGACGGACTCAAACAATCGCAAATCGGCCGGCACTCGATCGCCGACATTGAGATAAACGATGTCACCTGGTACCAACTCGCGGGCAAGAAAACTGTCAGGAGAACCCTCCCTTAAACTAAAACAATTTTATAATTAATTTGTGGCGAAGGATAAAATAACACAAGATTATGATAACACTCTAATAATAAATAATAAAAGCATCAATTTTATGACCCTCACCAATGACAAGACGGTGGCACGAGTTTGGTGAGTTCTTGTAGAGATTTTTCGGATCGGTACTCTTGGACAAAAGCGACTGTTACGACGATGACTATGGCTACGGTAATACTGATCGCATCGTCGAATTGTTTCATACATACTGAGACGAGTGCCGAAGCTAGAAGAAGTAAAATAAGAGGATTTTTAAACTGTTCGAGGTATTTTTTCCAAGGTGGATCTTCATCTTTGACTGAAAATTCATTATAACTGAAAAAATATTACTTAAATGAAGGTTTTATGAAATGTAAGTGTTAGTACCCGACTATCTGTCTTCTACGTGTAGCTTCTTGCCAACTCAGACCATGTCTTACATCTACCTGAAGTCTGTCAGCAATGTCTTCGTAGCTTTGGCTACTCGCCTCGCCTGCTGAAAGCCACATCGCAGGATTGCCGGCCTGTTCCTGGAAAAAATCTAATAAGTAATTAACAAGTATTTAAGAACAAGATTTGTATTTTCACAATAAACAATACAATGTATAAATTATTTACAAAAAAAAAATTAAAAAACATATTTGACACAAATAATGATTAAAATAACAATAATGACTTTTCTCCAACAGTATTTTATACTGTTTCTATGGTGCATTTAAGACTACCTTTTATGTTGCCGTTAAAATACGCTCCATCTATAAAGTACGTCGTCAATAGCAACGTATCTTATGAGTCTGTAAAATACGCTGATGCATATTTTTTGTCAATTTTGACATACTTCTTTATAATAATTTTAATCTTATCTATTTCAATTGATAAGATTGTTACAACGAATTGACAGAAAAATAAATAAGATTTTTAAAAAATCACTTACGAGCTACCGTTGAGTACGACGTTAAAAATGATCTTTTCCAAAATTTCAGACAACTAAAAGTTAAGTCCACTCGTCAAAAGTAAAAAGTAGCACAAGAGAAGATGATAAAATTATCCAAAATCCTTGCCCTACACCCACTTTTCAAATATTTGGATTACAAGAATGCTTGTAGTAATTGGTAACACGATACAATGAACAAGTAATCCAACACAATGAAGCACATATTTCGCATTAGCATACCTATCATTTTCCTCATTAGAACGATTATTTAGAATATTAACGCAAGGCACATTTCGCTTTGTGGCTAAAAAAAACACGAATTCTGTTGCTTTGTTCTTAAAATAATTGGAATTTGATAAGAATCACTTTCGATCTATTGTCTCTTAGAATGCAAAAACTGAAATCGCGATCTCAGAGGGTTCTGGAGATGTGAGGGTTTAAGGACTCGTTTTTTTCCAGCCTCATGGTCTATATGAATGACCACCCGAGTGAAACGCACACGCAAATCACATATTTATTCATTTATCAGTAATATTAAAACTACTAATAAAAATTGACCGGAATTTCCAACTAATTTCTTAATAAATTAATAACTTATCTAAAATACAAACTCACATCCTCCTTTGTGTCCTTGGCGCCAAAACGCAGTTTCTTGAAACAAGTTAACATTTTGAACAGATAGACAAATAAACAATTACGACACACGCCGTTGAAATAAAATAATAGTCTAATAGTATCAGAGGACAATTATTTATTCATTATCGTGTAACTGGTGGGGTGCACACAAGAAAATTAATTTTTCTCTTATTATTATTAATTTATTTAATTATTTCATACAAACAATGTCAAGCAATTTTATTAATCGCATAATAAAACGACAAAGTAATTGACAATAGGAAATCTAATGTTTTTTCTGTAACTTAATAAGGTATTATGATTTATTTATGTTATCAACGTGACAGTTAATAATAGGGATGAAAAAGAATGTCCGAATAATTCCAAATTGAGAGACAAATTACCAAAAAAGATTAAGAAACCTCCTAATACAAAAATAAAAAAATTAAAATACTGTAAATTAAAAAATATTCGAAACCTTTAAGAAACCTGATAACAGTGATAACTGATAAGAATTCAAACACGTTAATTTTACAGCATGTGTAAAATTAGTCAACATTATAATAAAATGCAGTTATCACTGTTGTTAGTACTCACGACACTAAGCAATTAGAAATATCTAAATTTATTTAATAATTAATAGTATATTTATCTGAAATTTGTAAAAGAATATTATTATTTATAAAAGAATCCTTGAACTATTTTCTAATAATTAAGTAACCACAAGGATTTAAAATATTATACCACTGTTAAATTGAAATTTGACAAAAAATAGACTGAAAAACAAGTTCGAATTTGATAATTCCTGAATTTCAGGCAAATTTTAGATTCTTTAAAAAAACTACTTGTACTTCACGAAACTAATAAGTTTTTCATCTTTTTTTCAAGAGTTCAAGCGTAAATAATTATTACTACAAGGTTTCAAAAATACATTCTGTAAATAATAAATATCGCATTTAGTAATTATCAAGATCTAATTTTTGATGTTTGTGATTTTTAAATTAATGTACACCAATCCAAGTGATAATTAAATGTTAATAAACGATATCTTATATAAGATATTCGTTGCAAAACCCCATGTCTGTTACATTTTCAAGTATAACTACTAACTTGAAAAATTGTTTAATAAATAATTAATTGAATTTTATATGGAATATAATACAATTAATAGCATCTGCACTTTCATTGTGTCGCAATAAATAGGTAACAAAAGTTTATAATTTATTAAAATGACTCATACTTTTAATTTTTCCTAAATTTATGTTACTATTACTTGTGATTGCATTTTTAATGTCTCAAATAATAAAAAATAAATTTATCGTTGTCTCAAGTTTTTTATTACATTCATGTTCATGCTGTACAATTTTATATCGATTAAAATTTCACAAGGAACAAAGGCTATCAAAAATAATTCGTAAATGGAATATTTTATTTTTTTATTGAATTCATTTGGACGAAATAAAGACATATAATTATTATCTTAAATACTACTTAATTAATAATGTATTTTGTACTTAAGATCCACAGGCCTCTCAATTTTAAAAATTTCGACTTGACCAACATTTAGATTTAGATTTACAAAATGTGTTATCTTTAAGCTACTTAAATAAAAGAAGTAGAGCTTTCCCCACCGTACCACCAGTTTTATTATCGTAAGTAGTGTATATCGATGGAAATAATGAAGTAACCCACTTTTAATAAATTGATGACGATTCGATTTCCATGACTTATTCCACTTTTCACCTTTTTCTTACCCTTCTAAATTTACACAAAAATTAAAAAAAAAACTTTTTATTAATAAATATGGCCCAACATAAACAAATATATTTTTTTAGTGACTTATTAGAAGAATTAAAAATATAATTTGACCAAAAACGTCAGTTATAATTTTAACGGTGAACTAAAAAATAAGGAATTATCCGTGACAACACAGTAGGTAATACAAAATATGAAAAAAAGGAAAATTCTGCAAACAAAATTATTATGCAATAAACCAGACCAGTTTCACTAGTTTTTGTGTAGTTTTTGTGTAATTTTGATTACATTAAATTCTGTACTTTCAGTACTAATCAATGGAAATACTGAAAACTGGAAAATGACATTTCCGCAAAACCCTATTTGTGGTTAGTTATTTTTTTATTTCAATGAAATAAATGAATGGGCCAATTTTCAGTAATAAACAACAATTCATTTCATTTATGAATTATATAAATTAACATTAGTCCACTTTTTTGGTCTTGTTACAGGTAAACAGCTACATAATGCGGTACTTATCGATCGGTAACATTCTCCCAAATTTTAGTGTGTATTTTTAATAAATCAACACAAACACGTCATTCCAAAAAAACACCACCAATTGACTTAGCAAACTAAATACCACTTCTTACCGAATTAGATGTTTGGTGCACCAAATTTTCATCTAGATCTTTGCAAGAATTCTGCGACAGTTTTTCATATTTCGTGTTTAATAATGATTTTTTCATGCTTCGGCAATGAACTTAACTTATTAACTAGCTGTTATGTTGCACTATTCAAATAAATTTGTTCCATTTTAATTTATAACGAGGATACTGACACGAATCGAATAAGTTTGATCGCACACTCATAATCGAAAAGCACCATCGACAGGATCTGTCAAAAACTGACAACTGTCAAAATTTGAAACTGAACGAAGTACGCGATCTGTCAAGGTGACACGTAATAAAATAAATTAGGTTAGAAAAAATTAATTTGACTGAAATTTTTTATCTTTTAATAATTTTCAACTTTGATACAATAAAACAGCGGTAAATAAAAATATTTGTGACTTACCTTCGTTGTATTCAGCGTCGCATCTTCTAGACTTTTTGTGGGAATAGGAAAGTATCCTTTTACAAAAAAGTCGTAAACAGTTCGTATGAATTCTCCAGTTTTCTAAAATTATGGACATTTTTGTAATCAGTGTTTTGTATTATCGTGTCACAAAGTGAGTGACATTGCTTGCGTGTCCTAATTCTGCAAAAATTGTAATTACCTTGAATTTGAATATGGGTCGTAAAAATTGACATAAATGCATTTCAAACAGATACTACATCCCCATACCAAGGATTTTGGACAATTAAACTTTTAATTTTGAAGAAATGAATGTTTGTGAAGTGGAAAATGACACGATAACAGACTAATCTCAGAAAACTGCCATAAAAAATTGTGGGGTAGGCGGTGAATTCGATTAGCTTTTGTAAATAATTGACGTCGAAAAATTTTCATTGTCTTCAATAAAAAAATTAATTATTTTATTCACTAAAAGAACAAGTAAGTAAATTCATTGCAATAAAAAAGTGAGGTTATATTTTCTTTTTTTTCTAGATTTCATCAAATATCATGGAACCTGTGGAAAAAGTGTATCCCAGTATTGAGGAATTGGGTAACGTGAATAAAAAAGAGTGTCCTGAATGCTCAGCATTATTTAACTCTGACTCTAATCTGAAACTACATTTAGTCAAGACTCACAAGAAATCAAAGCTTTTGGAACCTGTTAATACTAACAAAATTTTTTACTGCCCTATAACTACTTGCTCTTACAACAACACGTCGCATTTCAAGCAATTGAAGCCCTTGAAGCAGCATTTTTTAAAAGTTCATTCTGACAAGAATTTCGTTTGCAAGTTGTGTCAGAAAGGCTTCGCCACTGAATCATCCAGAGACAGACACACTGAATATTGTGATGTTATTTTCAAATGTTGCGACTGCGACATGTTTTACTCGTGTTATGAAACGTTAAAAACACACAGTCGGCGTAAAAAACACGACATTCTTGAAAAAGTCGCCTATAAAACGTCAGTAACTCCAACTGTGAAAAATCCAAAGAGTGACAACTCTTTGGTCTCGAACAAATTTAAACTTATTCTTCTCAAGCCATCCAACAGCACTGGAATGATTAACACTAGTGATACTTCCGAACAAAGTGTCCAAACTGATAAATCCAACAACAGTCAAGAAACGCAGACGTTCCTAGCGACTAGAATGCCACAATTCACAGTTGAAACGCAAACCATTGGGGATTATTTCACTAAGAGGCCCGATAATCTCAACACAAATTTGAAAAGTATCAAAACTCAAACCATCACCCCCGTCCCTAAGACGTCTTCCTGCAACACTTCGTTCCTTTTGGACGATTTTGTACTGAATGTGATGGACGATGTGCAGAGAAGTTCCTCTAGTACTCAAACAAACATTTGCGAAGAGTCTGATGAAGACATCTACTCTGCCTCAACAAGCACACATGACTCCATCCATACGGACACTTCAGATTTGTTGAAGGACACTTTTGACTTGAATTACTTTAATATGGAGACTCAGACCGACTTTGATGAATTGTTCAATTACTGTGATGACTACAGCAATATGTACACACAGACTTGCCAGGAGTTATGGTTGGGAGAAATTGGACTGAATGACACACACACGCAAACTGTTATTGACGACGTTCTTAAATCGGTTGAAAGCCAAACTGTTATGTCCCAATTTAAAATCCCGCCAACGAGCTGTAAGGACAATGTGACCCATATGGAAACCCAGACTGACATGCACTTTAAACAAATGCTGGAGGAAATAAATGCCTGACTATAATGGAAATATCTTTGGTTTTGTTAAAGCAGGAAATTCTGAACTCGCCTTGAAAATTGTTTGATTTTTACAAATTCAATATTTTTGTTCAATTGGTACATTTTTAACGGAGAGTAATTTAATAAATTTTTATATCTATGTATTGATGTCTGAATTTGTTTACTTGTGTTTGTCAGCGTGCGAAAAATTTGTTTTTACGATTTCACGAAACTTGAGACGTGGTGATGTCTACTCAAAAATTACCTGTTGTCAATTATTAGTCATTAAAAAAAATGGATAAGAGAAAGGTAGGCAAAATTTTTTTAACAGAAGACAGATTTATGTACCAAATGAGTGCAAATAATAAATGATCATAAATAATGAATAAATGCAGGCTGTTTCAAATAACTTTACGAGGCTTGCGCCTAATGTACGCACCCAAATATACAAAAGTCACAGAACACTGGATACAAAAAAATACACATTTAATTTTTGAAAACCCATGACAGTAGTTGTCAAACTAATCATTGTTTCATTAATAGTCATAAACTGCAGTTTCTCAGAAACAATTATCATTTGTTCTATCAAAAGACGGCATGGAATATTTTAATCACTAACTAACTAAAAACGTAATTTTTGAAAGGGTGAACAAACTAGAGAAGGTTATCCAATTTTTCAAAATTTGTAATCGAGTTCGTAACGGGATATAGATATATTATTGACTGCATCTTACAGGCGTAAGCCTCGTAAAATTATGTGAAACACCCTGTATAACAGTGAAGTGAGTTGACAATTTTATGATAGTAGAAAACAGAATCTAGTGCACATCTATGTTGGTATTTATTAGTCTTTTAGCGGTGATCAATTTATTCGATTTAAAATTAACATACCAGGTGAATAAAAAGTATGGAACCAAACGTTTTTTGCTTAAACTATTTATTTTTTGAAAAAACTAATTGATGAGTGATAAAGTACTATAAAAATGTGATGATTTAACAAGAATAAAATTTTTCGAAATTTCCTTTTGTTTTTGAGTTCTACAAAAAAAAATATTTTTTTAAATGGCAACCCACTATAAAATCATTTTTTTCATAAAAGCTATACTCTAAGGATTACAACTATCTGCTTTATGTTTAATTTTATCAAAAAAAAATTTTCACATAAATTGCAATTTTGACAAAAAAATATCGCATAACTCAAAAACAAAACAAAATTTTGTCCTGAAAATACGATCAGATTTTTTATATTACTTTAATTTATATTAATTATTATTTTCTGGAGGCAAATGATTAAAAATAAAACCGCTTGGTTCCATACTTTATATTCAACCTGTATAATTAGTTTTGTTCGCAAAATGATAGATATGTCACCAACCATTTAACTATACAGTACCTTACACCAAACTTTTTCAAAACGATTATCTGTAATTAAGTCTACGAACATTCAGCCGAAAACCTGATCAGTATCACCAATTAATAAAAATTATGATAATTTTTTTTATTCAACTTAAGGAATGGCTTTTTAAATGGAAATGTCAAAGAGCATTAACATTACTACCACAACTGCAGTTGTGGGTGTGCCCCATAAATACAAAAAAAAGAAGTGGTGAGCGAGGACTGTGGCTGAATTGACGATGTTTACATTTTTTAAAACAGTATAATGATGCTTTTGACCAGAAGTTATCTTAGGCTAATCTTTGTGGTTCCAACAATTTTTACATAATCCATAGCTCCCAATGCTTGTGCATCCAGCAAATGTATTTTTTATATTGAAATAAAAAGCAATTTTCAAATCCATTTTTTATTTCTCATTGTTTTTTACAATTTTTTGGAGTAATAAACATCAATAAATAACAAAATAAATATTTCTTTAGAAATTTCCATTATAAACAAAAAAGATTGGTTTTCCTTTCACAGGATCTTGCAATTCTATTTATGTCTAATACCCATAACACGTCGGTATTAGATAAGTAACTAACTAAAAATCTTGCAATCCTATTTATGTCAAATACCCATAACACGTTAACTGAAAATATCAATCCTTTACTAAAAATTTATTATAACTGTTCCGTTATGTTTAAACAAAAAACATCGGTTTCCCTTTCACAATGTTTTCCCGGATCTGATAGTTATCTTGATGTCTCTTCAACTGAGTTATATCCAAGTTATCATTCTCGATATAAATCTTAGTCCTTGCCGCCGCCAAATGTGCATAGTACGTCGGTGCGGGATAACCAACCGACCTATTGCATCTGGTAAACATGTGGCATAGATGGTATGTCAACTGCTCGATATCGTCATTACTCATATTATTATCATCCCACAGAGTGCAGTACTTCGTAGGCCTGGCCACCCCTTGTATACTCGCATGCGACACCAAATAAAAGTCCTGCATCATCGGATTAGTAATGTGAGTATCCACACAAGTCCCCGCCGGGACATTGTTATTCTTATCTTCTGAATCCCTGGGATTCACCGGGAAAAGCCTGGTGTGGTGTCTTTTCTGCACCACCAAGAAAGTAATCTTCGGCTCGTAACCGTCTTTTTGTACCCTTTTACACGCTTTTTGTATAGCGGATATTTCCTCTCGCTGGACTTGTTCAAACTGGCCTTCGGAAACCCCATCCCGGAAAAACACGATCTTTTCCGGTTTATACCGAGTTTTTTGATAGAAGAACAACAACTGTTGGACTGTGATATCGCAGAGATCTTCGATGATTTCGACTTTGGGCGACTGTAGACGCCAGCAGATGTTGTATTGGAAGGCATTTGGGTCGTGCGACGCCGTCACCGCCGCGACGCTGGGTATGTCTATGGCGCCGGGACCAGGATGAGTGACGTCGGCACCCATGATCATGCACGGAGTGGTCAGTATGAGTGGACGCGAATTCGGCGAAAACGAATGGTTCGTGCCATTCATCTTGCTGTTGATTTTGAGGAGGATGTTCCCGACTGTTTGCGGGTTGAGTCTGTTGATAGTTTGGTCTTTGATGCATTGGGTAAGACAGCCGACGTTCAATTCGGCCGCTTTTTTCACCAATGAGTATTGGGGCCCGCTGTTGGGAACCACCACCACGATGAAATCGTAGTCTTGCTTGCTCTTGAAGTAGTCGATGAAATCGCGCAAGCATTGGCGTCCACCGATGTGCTGGAAGGGAGGGGTGGCTTTGGAGGTGATATGCATGCCGCTCGATCGACCCATCTTAAAAATCTAGAACCAAGTTTTAAATTTTATTTTATTTTAGCTAAGCTAAGATATTAGCTAATGAGGACGCAGTGATTAACGTAATAAACCATGTAGTCGGGGATCCAAGACTTTTTCCATTTTTGAAATTTAACGCTTTAAAAAAACGATTGGAAATTTTTCGACCCTTTGAATCTTTAGATGAATCGATAACACTAGTTTACACGATTTATATACCTTAGTTGAAAGTTATAATAATTTCTTATAGATATTGAGGCACTATGGATTCAAAAAAAAATATGTAAAAAAATCCACTACGTCACGTGGCCAAACAACAAATTTAAAATCAGTTGTTTTACTTTGTTTTTTATACCTTTTTGCTTCAGTTTATAACAGCCCACCAGTAATCTCCTAACATATTTTCATCCCAAAAACCTTTGTACCGATCTTCGAAAACCTTCAGATGTTGATGAAAACGCTCGTCCTGTTCATTACTCATGCTGCTTAAGTTTTTAAAAAAGAAGTCCAAATGCGAGTCAATGAATTGTATTTTAAGATCCATCTGGTGATAATTTAGCAACAATTTTAGTTTTAAATGAATTTTAAAATCGGAGGCATTTGCGCAAAAAGCAAGCAAATTGTTGTTGTTAACACAAAAAATGTGACGTGATAAATAAAAATAACCCTTAGGAATATTTTTGTTGTATTAAAGATAAATAAACATAAAAATAATAATTTGATTAAAGGTATATTAAACAAGATAGTAGTTTGTAAACTAGTGTAATTACCGGTAATACCAAATTTTATCCGCACCTCCAAAAACACTCTTTTCTAATTAGTAAGGCTCGGATTATATGCTCGAAAAATCCGTAAATTATGTGCATATATATGCACGTATTTTCACAAAAATATGCACAAAATATTAATAAATCTGCTCGAATATGCCAAATATGCATCGATAAACTTTTAACAAGAAAAAATCAAAGTTGGAATAAATTTTTATCCTCGAGTCCACTAAAGTTTATATTTTCATCATCTTGAACCACACACGATGGACGAAAGAGAATAAATAAATTGGTTTTGTCTCAGACGAGCCATTTTAATAACATAGTAATTAAGCCTTTCTAAGAAATCTGTACTTTTCAGATCACATGTTACCGTCAAAATAAAGTTACTATTACTACATCACATTAAATAATTTTGCTTAAATTCATTTGCAGGCAACAATTTATCCATATAGAAGGATTTATTCGTTTTATACCAGGTGAATAAAAAGTATGGAACCAAACATTTTTTGCTTAAACTATTTATTTTTTAAAAAACTAACTGATGAATTAAATGTTTTATCAAGAATAAAATTTTTCGAATTTTTTGTTTTTGTTTGAGTTCTACAGAAATTTTATTTTTTCTAAATGGCAACCCACTAAAAAAATGTTTTGTATACTTACTCTCCCTGTGTTAGAGACTATCTACTTTTTATTAATTTAAAAAGAAATACATAAGACAATTTGGACAATCGCATAACTCAAAGCAAAACAAAATTTCGTTTTGAAAATACGATCAGATTTTTTATATTACTTTATTTTATATTAATTATTATTTTCCAGAGGCAAATAATTAAAAAAAAACCGTTTGGTTCTAAACTGCATATTCACCCTGTATAAAACGAAATTAAAAAGAAAACACTCAGCAGGATGAGTCGGGCTTACGAATTAGTGGTTGTTTTCTTTTTAACATATTTTGTAATCGAATCATTTTTCTTAAACTGTCCAATTTTTAACTTGAATTGAAATTTTTATTTGTGATTTGAAAAAAATATGCACAAATATGCAATATTTCCTAAAATATGCACGAAAGTGCCAAAATATGCATTTTTTAATTGGCTTATTTTAATCAAAAAACGTTAGATATGCATAGAAAACTTACAATTTTGTTGATATACCTCTTAATAACAAATATGCATTTTGCATATAATGTGAGCCTTACTAATTAGGCTGAAAACTAAAATTGTAGAAGATAAATCATAGGTGACTTTATCAAACAGTAGAAGATCTTGTTCAAGTTTTAAATCGTTTATTTTGTCCTAAGTATAGTTTTCTCACTTGTGCTAATTTTGAGATTTATTTCGTTATAATTTATTTTTTTTATTATATTTTTATTTTTTGAATAATATTGATCACCCATTTAAATTTAAAAAATCACCAAAGACACGTTAAAAAATTGACAAATTATAGTCTGTGAAGCAAACATTTCACAATTCACGATGGACAATAAGATACATTTTGATTTCATCATAAAAACAGTCTGGAGACGAAAACACAAAAGCAGGTAGGTACCACTAATAATAACTCTCTGGAAATTCAACTCAACTCAATTTGGGGTGAACTGAATAAATCACAGCGAAAATCTTTCATTGAAAGAAAAAAAAAATGAGACTCTTAATTGCCAAAAAACACTCTTTGTGTAACTGTTCTGTATCCAAAAATAAAAAAAGCAACTTGGATCCCTCTTAAACAAAAAATAACAGTAAACCCACTCACCATATCCGCCAACTGCTCCACCCTCGCCGGATATCTCGTACAGGACGCGATCGTCCATTTTTTGATAGTGGCCCCGACCAAAAACTGATTTCTGTCCGCCCTCCAGACACCCTTATTGGGCATGATTTCCGCTCTTCCCGCATACAGCAGATTCGGCGGCTGCAGAACGCGAGCATCCAATTTCTCGAAATGATGACTTATCGAAAATCCGAACTCCCTGATGCAGGGATCATTATTATAATTCACGTTTCGCAAAGTTTGCATGATGTTATTTTTCCGGATGTTCGTGGAAGTGGCCGTTTTCCTGATCATGGCGCTGGTTTGATTCTCGGTGGTTTTGCGATTGACGACTTGCCCGCTTACCACAGTGCAAAATTCCAACGGAAGAAGAATCTTCGACTCGCGTTCTCTAGAGCCCACCCATAAAGTGGGTAGATGAGGATACCGGAGTCTGCAACGTTTGACGTCTTGAAAGTATTTGTCCACGGTGGTGATTTTGCCGTCGTCGAGCTTGAATTGGGCTTGACTGGCGGGCGCGCCGAGACCGTTGACGCGATAAACGCGTTTGGAGCCACTTTGGCCCGGTATCTCATAATTGACTTTCAACAGCTTGATGAATTTTTCCAACGCCTTTTGGATGAAATCGGGAAGAGGTCTGTTGAGATGTTCCCGCATTATGGTGTTTCTGTAATCGCTTCCAAGTTCGCACACGAGGTCTAATACGTTCAAAGCACTAGGAAACGGTTTATGGGCAATGTCGACGTTGAGGAGGGGTTTCCAACCTCTAATTGCCGACTGATAAAACCCGTAATACATCTCCATGCCGTCCCCGAGAGGTATAATTTGGCCTCCTCTTGGAGGAGTGAAAAAACACCTCCCTGCGTTTATACAAGTGTTGGAAGGAGCATTCCTGAGGACTATATCCAGGCATTGTAAGGCGTCCTGTGGCGACTGCCTCGTCCTTAAAACATCATGAAGAGGCGACAAATCGACTGTTCTCGCCAATTTAATCTCAACTTTGAACTGCTTTTTCTGGTTCTCTCCTTCAACTTCAATTATGTCGCTTATAGTGTCATTGGGTAAAGGCAATTTTTTCGGCGTATAGAGATTTTTCCGGCCGTCGTAACCTGGATGATTTTTCGGATAGTGTTTTCGACCGAAGAGATTCATCACGTCGCGAAATAAACATTTAGGAGTGTCAGGTGTGATAGAGACGTCGTAATGGTAAGCCTTTGTGAGGCTGCCCAGATTCAAGGATAAATGGTTGCTTTCAATTTTTATGGGTCTACCCTTGGTACCCGGCTTGATAACAGGGGCTCGGGAAACGCAGCCTTGGCCGCCCGATGAAGTTGTTGCTTGAAATGATGTTCCCGGTTGGGAATTTGGTTTTTCTTGCTGGTGGGATGGGCCGAGGCCTTGTAGGTGCGGAGGAGACATTTCAGGAAGAGGTCCACGTGGTTATGTTGTTAAGTAAATCTTGAAACTGCTGTGCACAAAGATAACTTTAATTTTTTATGGTTTTTTGGTTCAACATAAATCTTTTGTTTATGTGAGAAATTTAAGACCGAGAACGCAATTTTCAAATCGCACAAAGCATGTCATGCCCTGGCGAGAAAATAATGACCGGTTTACAGAAAATTTAGTTGCAATCAAATTTAACTCTATCCACAGGTGAGTATTAATATATACGCATAAACTATAAAAAATAATAGTGGAAAACATTCTGATAAATGTTTCTAGTTAGATATGTGGTAAAAATATATAAACTTTTAAATAATTTGGACTGACGACACCAATGCATGCACACAAAAACGAAGTGAATCGTTTTTCGGCAAAAATAAAAAAGTTTCAACTTAAAAGTTTTAACTTATTTTACTCATTATTGATCATAACACTTCATTCCCTAAGTTTATGCGTACGTATATGTTATGACTCACCCTGTATTAAATATGTATATAATTTTCTCACCTTAATCTCACACTTTAGAAACTTCACTTAAATAACAACATTTCGTAAATAACTAAGAAAACCGGGCTAGTGGACGGATGACCTTCACCACCAGACTACAGCCAATCACAATGCATCGAAAAGAAACAAGAACTACCCTTCAAGAAATCTGATTGGTTTGTCGATAGTCGGTAGCAAAAAAGTGGAACAATGAGATAAACTGTCTCAGACTTGCACAGTTACAAAAAACCTGCGATTATTAAGCTTAACGCACAGAAAAATGTTACTTCTACGAATTTTTGATTTATAGTTTTGTTTTGAGTTCAGTAGAATCTAAAAATTTTACAGGGAAGAAAATAAGAGTTAAATCTTGCGATTTCTTTGCAGTGGTTTATTCTGATAAAGAAATTTAAAATAAGGCCGATTCTCATTAAAAATTGTTAAAAAAAAAAACTAAACAGAATCTAAAACTTCATTAAAAATAAAGCAGTCCGAACCAAACAAGACGAAATAACAGTTTTCTGACTCGTTTTTGCAAGTTTACAACGAATTTTGCAGGTGTTGCATTAATTAAACGAAACCTTGGTACAAAATTATTAGTATCAATTAAAACAGCTACGAAATTTCGATAAAAAAGAACTGCATAGCGTTTATCCCAATTAATCTAGTTACATTGCACTAGAAGAAAATAACGTAAATGAAAGATGATTTACAAAAAAAAAATGTTAATAGCATTATGAAAAAAATCCATGTTTAGTAAATCAAGCCATCAAGTAATAAAAATATTTTGGAGATGATATACTGTATATTACAAACCATTACACAATTGTATTTGTATACAGCCGTAATATTAAATAATGTGATGTATAAATACCACCACACTTACAAAGAACTGTTGATAGATGGCTTAGTCAGTTGGTGTTAATATCAAAATAGCTATCAGTAAATAAAAAATCACATGAATGAAAAAACTAGCGTACATCCCTACTTATAATAAATTAAGCTACATATATAGATCTATGTACAATATCAAAATTCAGTTGTCTTATATTGTTACCATTACAATGCTGGACCTGTATCTTCATCTAAATCTAAGAATGGCTCTCTTTTCTCTTCAATACGATGCATGTTTTCTAAGCTTGCCGCCATTATTCTCAAATTATCAACCCCAGTTAACAATTGCCTAAAATTCCAATTAAATCCCGGTCTTTCGAGATGAATCAATTACCTCAAAGAATGCTCTGCAGTACTTGCTGCAGCTTTCAATTCTTGAGCTAATCTCTGAGAATGCATTTCATTTGGAGTATAATAATCGTGTCCCCCTGCTGCGCCCTCTTCTCCACGAAGGGCTAAATTTTCCGACTTTAAACTATTTAACTGACTCTAAAAATGAAGTTGCTACAAAAAAAAAACAGAAAACCAGATTCACTTACCACAAGTGATTTTATTTCTTGTCGCAATTTTACAATGGTATTTTCCGCACTTGCTGTTCTCATCTGTAAATCAAACGATATTTTTAATTAAAAAAAATTAAGGCCCCGAAACCTACATTGCTTTTTTCTAAATTTTTCTCCACTTGTTCAAGAGCTTTGGCGAGATTTTGTGTGTAATCATGCTCCTTGTTTCTTGCAATTTCTAATTCCCTTGTTAGATTCTCAACTTGACGTGTCCTCTCCACTAATTGCCCTCTACAAACTTCCAATTCACGCCTTAATCTCTCGCACTCCCTCTCAGGGCTTTCGACTTGTGGCCCATCTGGATTCTGGGGACACACCGCACCATCAGCTAAGAAATCTGGCAGGCTTTTTGATACTCCAACCTGTAAGCCAATTTTGAGTATTTTCGATTTTGCGAAAATATACCACTAACTTCACTATTAACACAGATCCGGTTACCATTTTGTGGTGAATTTGATATTGGGAGGTCTAAAGGGAAGCCAGCCTGTGGCCTCATGGGCAAATCCAACGGTATAGATAAATTGTTACTAATATCACATCCTCGATTAACATTATGACTAGAATCGATATTTACTCTATTTATGTTAATGCTGTCCCTACTACGGGTAAAATCCGGCAGGTTTACATTAAAATTGCTATTTGTAGAATTGTTTAAATAACACTGTTCTATAACTAAGTGGTCTTGAACAAAATCCGGTAAGGCAGAGGAGTATTCAGGAACGATCCTTGTTTGTTTTGTTTCTTGCGTAGGAGCAAATTCCAGATCGGACACAGACGAAACCGGGCGCCCCTCACAGTACACCTTAGGCCGTGCACCCTTACTTTGATAACTATTTACATCACTACGTAAAAAATGTTTAAATGAAAACGGGTTGTCTTCTCGCTTGGGAGGCTCGGTACTACCTACAAATTGCGCAAACAACACCAATAAAAGTGTCTTTAATGTAAATAAAGCGTACCTGAAGCTCCAGCACTTTGAAATCCTAACCTATTTGAGTCAGACACACGGCTCAAATCGTCGCCCAAATCCAAAAAGACGGGTTGAACGGAGTCTTCGGAATCGGACTCCTCACTAAATGCGTTTACGTTAGACTTTCCTCGACTATTTTCCGGTAATTCATTCGCATCAGCCATTATCATACACGCTCAAAATAAATAAACGTCAACTTTTTGTGATGCTGTCAAATGTCATATTTTTGTCAACTGAAATGTGTGAACGCGGCCAACTATGCACCAGTTTGAATTGTTTTCCTTTAACTTTTTTTGGGAACAAATTATAAAGGCACAGTATTTTATTGAAGTATTTTTGTTCATTAAAAATTATAAATCTACAGTGAAATATTAAATACACAGTAGAAAAAAATATGTTTAATATAAAAATATATGCTTAGTACGTAAAATTATAAAACCTCAGATTTGGAATTGCTGAAAAGAATAATAAATGTTCACTAATACAATAATATTCTTGCACAGAAGCTATACGTTATTGTTATCTAACAAGACTGAAAATAAATAACTAAGTACCACTATTATAGTAAGGCCCCGTCAGCACACAACACTTTTACAGATACTAGCGGGTGTTTCAGAACTCGAGCCCCAGAGAAAAATTCCAAGTAAGGAACATGGCAAAATGTTTAAAAAATTCTAAATTTCTCCACTCTAAAAGAAGAGTCAAAGGCACCCATTTGAACGTGTTGCAACTCTGTAACAAATTTATAGTTAGACTGCACCCATGATGGAACATACCATTGATGCCATAAGACCTGAAAATAGTAAAATAGAAGAAGTATGTTGAAGACTAAAAATTTATCTTTTGTAGCTTTAATTTTAAAGTTAACAGTGATTTTGTTGCTGCTGTTACAAGAGGTGCCATGGCTGTTAATGACGGTGATAAATCTGGGTGCAGAAGCTAAAATACAGATGTTTATTTGGAATAAGATTTTTCCTCACTTGGTTTCGATATTAGTAGGTGTCGTAAATTAATTAAAACAATATAAATTTGCATGTTGCCTAGACTTTTGTCTTTTTTCCTTTTGGAAATTAAGTATTTTTTTATTGTATTTTACTTTGAGTGCTCCAACTTTAGTAAGGTGCAGTTTTCTATGATAGAACAGATTTTTTTATAATCTAAATTTTGCTAAAATAAATCCAGTTGATTACAGTGAATTTATTTATTAGCACGTGTATCAACAAGAATAAAATTACAAATACCAATACTGTTAAACCCCAATTTTTCAAACATATTGATCGATATCCTGTTCTTCAAAAGAATGGTCCCTAGGGGCCAATGTCCCTCGTTTGCTATCTCCTTCGATAGGGCTTTAGTCACTAAACTAGCATAACCTTTCCGTTTGTGTGCTTCTTGGGTCTGAAGAATCGCCAAATGGCCCCATGCGTGCCTCAAAACCCACGCTACCATCTCATGGGTTGATTTCAGGAAAACTCCATATCCTCCATTCGCGTCAATAAAACTCGTTAAATATTTATCCGAACCTGGAAATCTGTGAAGCCATGTTGCGTTCATTTGTTGGCCTGCACTCGGGTCCAATTTTTTCAGGTAGACTTCAGGGGGGCACCTGAAATTTCGCTTTTGACTTCTTATTTTTTTTTTCTCAAATTTCGTCATACTCTATCGTAAATTTGCGTGCTTCTTCTGGTGAAATGCAATAAACATGCATCGGGACAAGGAAATCCATCGCAAGATTTTTCTCATTCAGAAAAGTTTTTATGAAATAAATGTGTTTTTCATGAACACCGTAAAAACAGGTTTTAATGTTGTTGTAATTCAGAAGAAGGGTTTCCATGAGTCCTTGGTAAAGATTAGTGCATTGATCGTCCAAAGTAAAGACCATTATGTCCTGATGTCCGTTCTATTCTTTTACACATTGAGGAAAATGTGTAATACTATGGTTTTACTTACCATTAGGATTATTCTAGCAATGATAGTGCCATCCGTTTTCCATGAATCATTCGGCGAAAAAATATGCAATGTGTCGCGGTATATCTCCGTTTTTTTCCATTTTATCGCCATGTCAATGAAACTCACCATGTGGGGGGCCCAGGGAGCTTTTTCTTTATACAAATTTGCTAGCTGGGGCAGTTTGTCGTCAGGAATTTCGATAAGAATGTCTTTATGTGGGGAAGTCATTTTGAGTTCGCACCCAATTAAACAGTTTTTTTTTTATACCTGCGTTATATCAGATAAAAAGTTGTTACACTCTACTTATGACTTTTATTATCGGACAATTGTTCTATTATGTACATAGATAACAATAAATAAGTAAGTAAATATTCTAAGTACAGCACTTATATAAGTGGTAGAGAGCGGATTATTTTAGGTAAAATGTTTTTTGATTCTATTTAATGCCCAAAATTTTTTCAGATGGAATTAGAGTTCGTACACAAAATTCGTCCTACAACGACAAATAAAACTTTGTTTGTCTTAAAACCATAATTTTAACATTTTTTCAAATTTTTTAAACACAATAATACCGCGGTAGTCGCGAAATTTCAAATCGTATGTGTGTGTGTGTGTGAAAATTTCAGTCGCATGTATCGCGAAAGTGGAAAAAAAAATAGTGTTATGTAGGAGTCTTGCAAAAACTTTGTGAAGCAAAATCCCAAGAAGAAAGAAATCCCGGGGAGACGAAGAGGAATCCGATAAAAAGCAAAGGATTCACAACAGGGAAATAGAAGCCTTACAAGACAAGAAACCGTCAGAAGAACGAAGGATTCAAGCAACCCCAGACATAACGAGCTCCATCCGCAAAAACTGTATTTTAGGTACCTAAAAATAACTATTACTGTGCAAATGATTATTATTTTTGTGACGAGTACCTAAAATACAGTTTTAAGTACATACGTGTTACAAACAATTTTTCTTTTGACAAAACTCCCAAAAAAAAACGAATTCACACCTCTTACTTACTATTTAAAAAACTTCGTCACCATAAACCCAAATTGACTTTTTCAAAAATTTTAGGTACTGAGTACCCAAAATAACTATTTTGCGCACTATTTTAATGAGTCCGAAAAAGACTCATTTCGGGGACTCAATTGAGTCCAATAAATAACCATTTTTGGAAGCAGGTACATAAAAAATAAATACTGAACTTTTATTTTATAGTGAACAAAATCAAATTGTTTACTGCTACTTTTTTTAAATTAGAAGACAACTTTATGAAATTAATTATAATCAGTTTGAAAAACGAATAAAATCGATCTTTTTTCTCAATACTTGTGAAGAAAATTAAGTTTTTTCGTAATTTCATTTTTTTTATAGTGTAAATAAGAACGATAAAACTTCTTTCGAAAAGAATAATTTATTACTTGCTGTAATAATAAAGTTTCTTCATGAAATGACTAAAGTATCATCCACAAAAATCTAAAAATAATCGACATTCCTAGCACAATTAGGGTAATTAGCACCCTAACATCGTCCGTTTTCTTCAATTTAACCCCGGAAACTTGGCCTTGCTGCAAGGGCTTGGCAATTCCAGGCATGACTTGGCTTAAGGGTTCCCCAGTCATTGAAAATTTTGTTGCAGTGACAATTTTAACAGTGACAAGTTTCCCCATGTATTTTTCATCTTTGGGTACCAAAACTTGCTCGTAAAATTTGTTATGCCCCACATAATGTTTCCTATCGTGAGACACTTCAGTTACAAGCACCTCCTGTACTTCCCCAACTTTCTTATCATATGGGTGATAAGAATAAAATAAATCTGTCAATCGTTTAGTTCTGCCTTTCACTTCTTGCGCTGGTATTCTCGGAAGTAGAGCCGCCGGCGTCCCAGGCCTTGGGAAGAACTGATTGATAAATAAACTAGGAAACTTGTATTTTTCACAAAGAGATAGAGTGTCCTCAAAATCTGTTTCAGTTTCTGTGGGAAAGCCGCAAATTATATCAGTGGCAATCGTCATGCCTGGGATTTGCGACTGTAGGAAATCAACAACGTGTTCAAAATCTTTTCTGAAGTATTCTCGTTTCATGTCTGAGAGGACTTGATCGCTTCCGGACTGGACAGGAACGTGGAGAAAGCTGTAAACACGGGGATGGTTCATTATTTTTGCCACTTCTGATAGGTGTTCTAGGATGTAGGGGGGGTTGGTCATGCCCAATCTTAAGCGACAACCTTCAGGAATTACTTCCACTAGTTTCCAGAGAAGCTCAGGTAGTGAAGTCCCAATATCCCTTCCATATGTGCCTAAAATAATCACTAGAAAAATTCATGAAACACAGAAATAACAAATACCTGTATCTTCCGAGGTAAGCCATATCTCAACAACGCCCTCTTCAAATGCTTGTTTCGCCCTTTCGACAATTTCCTCAGGCGGATAACTCCCCAATTCACCTCTGGCATGTTTAGTTTTACAGTAAGTACACTGATTTAAACACCCTGTATTGATGGCAATGATTTCAATCAAGGGATTTCTCCTAACTTTGGGCAACAATAAAGAAGCACCCCCAACTTTTTTGCCGTGTTCTTTTTTTGTTCCTAATAACTTGACAGTGTTTCCTTTCAAAGTCTCTTCAACAACTTCCACAACTCTGTCTATTTGTTGCACACCAATAATGCTAAGGCCTTGAATGAAGGAAGCTTTTGGAGCGCCTTGGGGGACACATCCCGCCACAACAATGCACTTTCCTAGTTCTTTGGCTTCTTGGATTTGATTTCTGCATAAAAAATTTAAGACGATTTATCAATGTGGTAAAATATTTCACCTAAAGTGATCCTCAGCTGGGTTTTTGACTGTGCAACTGTTGAGTAGCCAAAGATCAGCCTCTTTTTTATTTTCGGTCAATTTGTAACCATACGCAGACAACTGACCAGCCATGTACTCAGTGTCTGAGCTGTTGTGAGCACAGCCCCATGTTTTGATGTAAATTTTCTGAGTCCCAGGAATATTGTCACCGCTAACTGGCTCCACATTTTCAATGTGTCTGTCCTACAAAAATTGCGTGATATTGGCAGTTTCGCAAACCACTTACTCTACCTTTTTTTTAGCTTTTATTTTAATATTTTTACGCGAACTGTATCTTTCTTTAGGAGTTAAATCTTGGGCTGATATAAGGTCCTCAATGTCATCGATTATTTCAGAACACGAAGAAGAAGTATTTAAATCACTGGTCATAAAACAACGACATTTTGTCAATTGGACTAAAAAAAATTAAAAATACCTGTTCTCTGTTATCATTTTCTAACTTTCTTGAATAAATTATGTGGAACAAATTCTATATTTTCTTCAATTAAGTCTCCTCTTTTTTCTTTTTGCACTTTGTTTTAAAAAATCTCTTAAACTTGACACGAGTTTCTCGACTTTTAGGTTATGATTGCTTGAATTTTAGGTTATAAGATGTGTCAAAAAAATGGAAATGTCAAAATAAGGGATGTTTTCTAATTATTGGCGAATTTTTCAAGTTGAAGTAATTTTCAGCAAGAATTGAATGTAAATGACAAACGTATGATGTACTCAATTTATTTTAAAATGAGATTATTAGTTTTTTTTTTAGGTTATGACCGGAATTACAAAGGCTCAGAAACGCAAAAACGGTGAAAAGAAAAATAACGATGTGAAAGAAACAACAACTCCTTAGTATGAATTTTATTGTTTGTTATTAAAAAGCGATTATTTTCTTACATTTTAGCCGCTATGGCCCTATGCCAAAATTTCCAAATCAGCGCATTTGGAGCCGCGGTATTGTCATATTAGGAGTTCTTTTGTATGTTTGGTATACATCAAAGGACGGAAAAGAAGTGTCTTTAGCAAAACAGAAAGATATTTTGCCCATAAGAGGACAAACGGTGGAGTGTGACTCCAAATACTTGGATGAAATTACACAATTCCCCACTTGTGTTCCAATTAAATGTGGAAGATTTGTTTCTGATAAACTTGTCACAATTAATGAAGCAGAGACACTTCTGAATGTGGCGAAAAAAGGAATAAGTTTAGGAGGGTCCTCTGGAGGAGCTTCAATACTAGATATCCATTCAGGCGCACTTTCTTTTGGGGAGAAATTTGTAAATATTTACACTTTGAAAGGATCTGAAAAGTTTATCACAGCCTCAGATTTAACAATTTATAAAATTGTTAAAAATAAAATTAAACATGCAATTGCGGAAAATTTTGGTATAGACAAGGAGAGTCTGTACTTGACGCATCCAACTTTCTTTTCTAAATTGTCTAACTTGGAGTCAAAAACGCCTCATGATGAGTATTGGCACATTCATGTGGACAAGGTGTCTATTTTTCAGTTACCAAAATATTTTTCAAATTAATGTTTTTCAGGAAACTTATGAGTCATTTCACTACACATCGTTATTGTATCTTACGGATTTTAATGTTGAGTTTAAAGGAGGACGTTTTGTGTTTGTAGACAATGCTGAGAAACCGATGAAAAACGTTACAGTCGAGCCTAGAAAAGGAAGAGTCTTGATGTTTACATCAGGTGCTGAAAATCCTCACTTTGTTGAAAGGGTGACCTCTGGGGTTAGATACGCAATTACTGTTTCGTTCACTTGTGACAAAACAAAGTCAATCAGTGATCCAACAGCACATTAGCTAGTCAAGGGCAGTAAGTAATTAAAGTACTTAAACATTCCTTAGTAAGTATTAGTAATTACTGTAAATGCGATTAGATAACTGTTATTCGACCTGTATTTATTTTAAAATACAGCATTGTTCAAGTATTGTGAAAATGGGTATTAAAAAACATAACAGACTCGATTGAACTTGTTTATTATTCATATATTTACACCAGAATGATTGTGACCGCCGAAGTTGTGACAATGCTACAAAAGTCAAGCAACAAACTTTGTATCATTACCAGAACCATTAAAATTGAACTAAACATCAACAACATCTAGTCTTTGGTATTCCCAAAAATACAAAAATAAATGCGTCTACAAAATAAATTACAAAACCTCTGTCTAGTCAAAAATAAATTAGATTATTTTATATAGCTAAACCTACAACTATTTACAAAATTAAATTACAAAAAATATCTACATACTGTGCCCAGAACTCATGGATGTGATGCAAGAGGCTATTCAGATATTTTCAAGAATTTACACTTTAATAAAATCACTGTGTAAGATATTGGCAATCTTTTGCACGCTCGATCCTCCTAAAATGGTCCGGTGGTTACCTTCAAGGGCTTGCACTTTGAGTTTGCCTTTACACACCTGTAACCACATAATTAGACATTTCAAAGGTGACACAAATCGGACACTTACCTCAGAAAGGCCATAATCATCACCCATCTGAACGTAATTGTCTATCGCCCTGATAAGAGTGACCGGTCCTTTGAAGGGAGTATTAGGTTTGTACTTGTCGGCTGCTACTAGTTTGTAGTAGAAACTAGCCGCAGCAGCTGCCAACTGATCCTTGGGATAGGGGGCGGCACCTGACACGAGCTGAGTGGCTCTGGCCACACGTTCTTCCCAAGTTTTGAGTGCCATCAACTCGGCAACAGTCTACATAAAAAATAAGCATTAAATCATGCAAAAATTTAAATATAGAATAAAAGACTTACCTTTGGTTGGTCGATGTCTTTGAATTGTAGGGCAAAGTAAACCAATGCTTCGCTTTGTTCAGCTGCAGTGTTTCCCTGCAAACTCTTTGTGTTTCTAGCTTTCCCGGTGTGGGTCGCTACATAAGTAGGTGAACCATCGATGAACAAGAGTTTGACTTGCTCTCCGCTGTTTTCGAGTTGGACGCCCATTTCAAACGCAACACAGGCGCCAAATGAGTAGCCAACAAGAGTGTAGGGGCCTTTCGGTTGAACAGTTTTCATCTGCTTAATGTAATATTGCGCCAAGTCGCTGATACTCGTCAAGGGTGTGTCTTTGGTGCACTGCAAGCCATACACCGGCGCATCAATGTTACTGGCTAGCGCATTCAACGCATTCACCACCCCTTCGATCGGGTGCAAGACAAACACTGGATTCTTCTTCGAGTCGCTACTTTTACTCTTCATTTGAACCAAAGATTTGCTCGGCATGATTTCAACGTTTTTGTCGAATTGGAGTTGGTTGTCGCTAGTTGGGGCGGATGTTTCCACGGGTGCGGCTCCTCCACTTCCCAGTTCTGTTAATTTTCCGAAAGTCAAACCTCGGATTTCCTGTGCATTAAGCACCAGGTCGTAGTTGCGTTCGAGGGTTTGCTTAATTTCGGCTCCCATCAATGAGTCCATACCTAAATCGGCCAAGGAGGCCGACGCGGTCACAGTGGATGGGTCTTTAATACCAAGAATATTGGCAACGGCGTCGATGAGGCTCACTTGGTTGGCGTCAGCACCGGCTTTGTGTTTCTCAGCGAGGACCATGCTGGCGACCACGGCGTTGGGTTGTTGGAGGAAAGTGTCCATGGTGGTGAGACAAGAGGCCATTCTTTGGGGCAAAGTCCCACCGACTTCGGTGTCGTTTCCACCCATGGTCTCTAGGATGAGACCAACGTCACCGATGGCTCCCCATTGGATGGCTACTCCTGGGAGTCCGGCAGCTTGGCGCGCTTCGCAGATACGTTCCATGGCGGAGTTGGCCATGCCGTAGTTTGATTGGCCGGCATTGCCCCGGCCGCAGGAGACTGACGAGAAGTTGACGAAATAGTCAAGATGGGGGGCTAGTGATCGGGAAGCGGCGTCAAGTTGTTTGCTACCGTCGACTTTAGGTTTGCAGACGGTCTTGTAATCGGCTTCGGTTTGGTTTTCCATCATGGCGTCTCGGAGGACCACGGCGAGGTTAAAGATGCCTCCGACGGGACCCAAACTGTTGGCTTCCTCCAGCAATCGGCGGGCACCTTTATCACTGGTGGCATCAGCGGTTGAAATCAATACTTTTACTCCAGATTCGCGCCATCTTCTTACACAAAGTGACTGATAACCGGTTTTGATTCCACTTCGTGACGTTAGCACGATTTTGGTGGCACCTCGTGTGATAAGCCAATTGGCTAATTCAAGGCCAAAACCACCCAAACCGCCCACGAGAACATAACTCTTATCAGGGTCCATGTATGTCCGGGGGATGGCTGTCACAGTCTTGGGTTTAGGACGTTGCGCTTTGCGACTTTCCTCATCTCGGATTTTCAGTACGACCTTACCAATGTGTTTGCCAGAAGCCATGAAACGGAACGCTTGTTCCGTCTGATTTTCATTAAAGACGGTGCTTTGCAGGGGCTTAACAGCCCCATTTGCGATACCTTCATTAACCAAACGGACAACTTCGCGCTTATCAGGACCATCACTATCAAGCAGCGCGTCGAGGAGGATGCCATGGAACGTGGTATTTTTCAGGAAGATGCTCATTCCCAAAGGCGAGTTATTAGAGAGATCTACTTTACCGATCTCCAAGAAGCGGCCTCCGATTGCAAGGCATCGCACTGAAGCTTGTAATTGGTGATTAGCCAAAGAGTTGAGAACTAAATCGACCCCACGTCCGTTAGTTTGAGTCATTACCATTTGTTCGAAACTTGTATCACGGGAATTTCCAATACAGTCATCGGTAAGTTGCGGGAAAGTTTTTTTGAGAAAATCTCTCTTGGCTTGACTACTCACAGTGGTGAAGACCTTGCAACCCATGTGGAGGGCTATAGCAATGGAGGCTTGCCCTACACCACCAGTACCAGCATGGATGAGGATTGATTCGCCCGGCTTCATGCCACCTCTCACAATAAGGGCGTAGTAACTTGTACCGTAAACAACCGGAATTGTTGAAGCCTCTTCTAAACTCCATTTCTCCGGCACTTCCCACAGAAATCCAGTGTCGGCGATTACAGTAGTCGCAAGACTTCTCGCTTCCACCATTCCCATTACTCTGCGTCCTTTACTATCCCGTCCGGAGAATTCCAAACCAAGAATACATTCCTGTCCTGCCAAATTCCCAGGTAACGCATCTGGTGGGAGTTTTCCAGTCGCCAGCATAATGTCACGGAAGTTGAGAGGAGCGTAATACACATGGCAAAGCTCAGACGACGAGTCACCACCTTTGTAGTAAGACAAAGGTCCTTCAATCCATCTCAAACTGGACAAATCTCCCCTGGTCAAAGTGTTAATATAAGCGTGTTCGACTTGTAATTTGCCACCATCATGGTCATTGTCGAGTAAAATGTGTCTGAAAGACCCCCAGACATTCTTTTTGAGGACGTTATGGACAAGATCCTTTTTCAGTTGTTGGTCATAAGCAGTTAGGGAAAATTTGGGGGCGTTTGTGTCTTGAATAAAGACAGCTCGGATTCCAACACCGCCAGGCTCTTGTTTCAAACAATTAACCATCCCCACTAATCCAGTGAGTTCTTCCCCTTGAACGTATAAGTAGATTTTGCTACCGTCAGTCTCACTCTTCTTCATTGAATCTTTAACGGATTCGACCCACGCGAAATTATTTTCAGTGATTTGAATCACAGTTGAATCGGAAGGAACATCAACCGGTTTCCTAAGCAAGACATAGATTTTCGTAGTTGTGACTTGAGTGCTCACGATTATAAGTCCCGTTGTTGACAATTTACTACTATTGATGGCCCCTTTAGGTTCTTCGAGGAGCACAAACCCGCCGTCTTTAATACTGTTGGCAGCATTTTCAATCAAATTAATTTTGTCATGTGTTAACGCATCGGCTACTACCACAAGATGCAAGTTTTGATCAATTGGATTAGAAGTGACATCTTTTTGGACCACTTTAATTCCACTGTTTTCCAAAGCCGAGCTGTCGATCGAGTCAGAAGTCACAACAGAGGCATCAACAGAAACCATAGGTTCTCGTTCGAGAATATCTTTCACACTTGGTGCTAGAATTGATTCGACTGGTCGTCCACTCCCAACTTCTGCTACTTTGAGTTTCAAAGCCCCTGAGCTATTTTCGAGTACGGTTTGCAAAAGAACAGTAAGGGCATGCGTCTTGGCTTTTTCTTGATTCTCGCTAAGTGCCACATTGTTTTCGAAAGGCACGAATTGGTATTTTTCCAATTTGGGTGGGGATTGTGCTTGTTGGCGTCTGGGAGCTAAACTCGCTTTCATTCCGCGGAGTTCAATACCGCCAGATTTGATAACCCCAATGTTGCGGTACATGTAGACGGTAGGATCGTCCTCTTTGAGTCCGTTGAGGTATTGCAAATGTTCCTTAGGGTTGATCACAGCTCGTTGCAGTCTTGTTGGGAGGTAGAGTTCGCGAGTGCTTTGACCCAAAATGGAGAACTGGAGCATCGTGTCGATGTAGCTGATCCAGTTGTTGTTCCATTTGAGTTTTCCGGCGACTCCTTTGTTGTCAGATTCGAGGATTCCACGGAAGATTCCGTCGTAGTCGTAACCACGTAAGCGGAGTTCTTTGTAGATGTCGGAGTTGTTCAAGGGGAGGAGATCTTTGGTTACTTCGGGGGTTGGTTTGTGTAAGTGGAGGACTTCTTTGGAGACGTCTTCAGGAACGTAAATGCGGCCGGAAACGGCAACGGAACCACTTTCACATAGCTCGAAATCGCCAGTTCCTTCGAAAATGTTGATGAGGAATCTAACACTGCCCTCTTTTGGCATAATAGTAGCACGATGGAACTGGACATTTTCGATGATAACTGGTAACTGCTCAAAGTCCTCGTTTCTCAATTTGGCGAAAGTCTTCCATACCAAGGTCTACAAAACAAACCCAAATTAGTATTAGGTGATTCAGTGTTAATACTGTAAATAAATAATTGACATTCTTGAAATGGGGTGTATTACCAACGATAACTGGTTAAAAAAAAAACACAAAAATTCTGATGAACCATTGCTTGAAGAATTAGTTAAATATAAGTATGCCTATCATTGTTTTTTACGAGAGTAGTTTGGGAACATACCAAGTAACCAGTAGCCGGGAAAAGGACCCTTCCGTCTATAGCATGCCCGGAAAGGTACTGGTCATCTTCTTTGCTCAAGTCAACGTCGACGACCAATTCACCAGACCTCGACCCCTTGTCGCAGAAATTGGCCACGGCCCATTCTGTGGAGTGGTCCCATTGGATCATGGATGCGATCATGGGTGTTCCTTTCCCGACCGGAAAGCTTACAGGGTGGTACAAATTACCAACTTTGGGTTGTGCCCCAGCATTGTAAATCCTACAAAAAGAAACGTTCAAAAATCTCTACTTTCCAACTTTTACAACTCACCGTCCAATTGAGGAAATCAAAAATTCAACATTGTTTAGATGCATCCTTTTAACAAGACTGATGTTGGTGGATTTAGGCCCTATGGCCCGTTTGAGGATACCTTGCAGCAACCCTGCAGGTGCAATTTCTATAACAATAGCATTTTCAGGGACATGTTTGAGAGCTTCGTGGAACAAAACCGGCGATAGGAGATTATTCACGTGATAGGCCGCTGAACTTTGTTGTGCTAGAGGTGTGCCCCAGGCCGATTCAGGGATCGAAGAAGAAATCCAACGTGAGGTTCTTGGTTTGGGATTTGGAATGATGGCTTCCAAAGCTTTGCGTAGCTTAGGACCAGCCTCAGCTATGTATTTGCTGTGGAATGCAATATTCGAACTGTTGACTTTCTTGGCGAAAATATTTTCGGCTGTTAATTCGTCTACGAATTTGTTTACGACGTCAATAGGTCCAGAAATGGTAACGTTGTCTTCGCTATTGTGACACGCGGGGAACACATCAGGGGGACATCGTCTTTTGGCTTCGTCCCATGATAAGCCAACGGCGGCCATTTGTCCTTGGATCAGTTTACTTTCGATGATGGCTCTGCCTCTGGCATAGGCTGCAAGGACGGCCTGTTCGGCAGTAAAAGTGCCATCGGCGTAAGCACAACCGACTTCACCCACTGAATGTCCAACGATACCATCAGGTTCGATTTCCAAAGCTTTGAGGACATCGGTTAGAGCGACTTGCATTGTGGCAATTGACACGAATGAGTTTAAGACATTTTCGAAAGTCGCCTCAGTGCCGTTGACTATGATCTCCTCCAAATTGATACCGTGAGGTTTGAGAATCTCGGCGCTTTTCTTGATCGAATTTCTGAACACTTCAATTTCCATGAGTTGTTTTGCCATGCCAGGCCATTGTGAGCCCATTCCACTAAACACGAACCACACTGGTCTCTTCTCATTTGACACTTCTGTGACTTCGCGAAGTGAAGGGTTGCTGAGTACAGTGAAACCGCGATGTGCGTGTCCGGTGATGTTACTTTTATGGATTTGATCAACTAGTGCCAGGAATTCTTCATCGTTTTTGTTCTTTTCGACATGGTCTAGGAACGTATTGACAGCTTCTGGGGTCCGGCCAGAGACTCCCACGACTCTGGGAAGTGGATCAGCAGGCCATGAAGCCTTAGGTTTAGGGTTTGATTTGAGGATGATGTGAGCGTTGGCACCACCAAACCCGAATGAGTTGACACCGATGATACCGCCTTTCCATGGTTCGTTTTTCGCAACAACCTTAAGTCTGCCATCGAGAAGGGCAGGAATGTCAGTATTTGGAGATTTGAAGTGGAGATTTCCGGGAATCATTCCAGATTCCATAGCGATGACGATTTTGGCTAAAGAGCAGAGCCCAGAAGCGGGTTCAGAATGACCCATGTTGCTTTTAACCGAACCGATCATGAGTGGTTCCTTTCGATTTTTGGTGCAGAAGAAGTCAGCAATTGAATTGACTTCTTGTGGGTCACCAACTTTGGTACCGGTGCCGTGGGCTTCCACATAGGAAACTTCATTGGGATCAACCCCAAACTCGGCGTAAGTCTCTCGGATGAGTTGGTTTTGCATAGAGCCGGCCGGGAATGTAATTCCTTGTTCCTTAAAACCGTCTGTGTTGATTTTGGACCCAAGGACCGTGGCGTAGACTCGGTGCGCGACACTGGCTTTTTGTAAAAAGACAACAACCGCGGCTTCGGACCTCACGTATCCGTTTCCAGAGGCATCGAAAGCCTTGCACATTCCTTGGGGACTCAACATGCCCAATCGATGGAACTGCAATGAGGATGTGGGCTTCAAGAGGAGATTAACTCCTCCGACTATAGCGGCATCGCATTGGCCCGTTTTTATCGCAGTTATTGCTTGCTGCATTGCGACTAAACTACTGGAACAAGCCGTGTCTAGGGCATAACTCGGGCCGCTAAAGTCAAAAGTGTAGGAAATTCGGTTTGAAAACATGGCACGGCAACATCCGGTCAGACCGTATCCGTTGATTTGCTCGGGATCTTGTGTCCAGAATTCGGACGATTCGCTGTCGGAGACACCGATGAACACCCCCGTTTTGGAGCCTTTGATGTCATTAGGGTTGATTCCCGCGTCGACGATGGCTTCGTAGGTCAATTCGAGGAGTAGTCTGAGTTGAGGGTCCATAACAGTAGCCTGTTTGTGGTGAACTCCGAAGAAGGTGGCATCGAATTTCGACAAGTCTTTCAGCTTGCCGGTGCGAGCAGGGAGAGTATAGAGACCGGCGGGCCATCGTCTATCGTCATCGGTTACTAGATCGACACCATCGAATAATTGTTGCTTGAATTCTTCGATGTTGTTGCTTTCTGGCAAACGACCGGAAATTCCGGTGATTACGATGTCGTCGCTAATTCCATATACGTGGCCGTTTTGTGCATCAGGGACTCGGGCAGGCATCGTGATTAATAAATTAAGTTCTGAAAATTGAAAGAAATTTCAACAATAAGTTAACGCAATTTTGCAACAATGGATGAGGATGTGACTCACAATTGGTTCATAAAGAAGTCGTAGAAAGGCGAGCGGTTATTTTTATTTCAATAGAGATACAGAAACAGTTTAAAAACAGATACTCTATCAGATTAATTATTTTAAATCAAAATTCAGTATGTTTTCCTTGTATTTTACCAAAAGTATAAGAATTTTTTGACTTATGCGTCTTATGACACTGAATTGACATTAGTAACTTATGCAAAATTTAAAAAATAAGGGCACTGTTTTTTTTCACAAATACATTAACCTTGCCTATTTTCGATTCAAATGTTCTACAAGCTGTAAATTTTTTGGCGTATAATTACAAGCGTAACAGAAATCGTTGTAACGGTTCCCGCAATTATATTTTTAAGTCGATGTTTTGTGAGTACACTTTGTAGTTTTACGGGACATTACAATATATTTCCAAGTCGTAAAATTTATAGAAATTCATAGATTAAAGTTTAATTGGGGAAATGAAGTTCAAATTTTTGTACATCGGCGCTATTAAAAAAGCCTAGTTTATTCCAGTCGCAATAATAATTTTTTTGAATAATTATTACGACTATTTTACGGTTTTTAGCAAAACCAAATATTTTACTCAAATGGGTGCTTAAAACCCGAGGTTGAAACGCAAATTTAATTTACATTTTTTCATTATTTTTTTTTATTACTACATCAATAAAATGACTTTTGAACATGGGATTCCTATCCGCTAGATAGCATGTGATTTCAGATTTCCAAATTGTTTTAAAAAACTCAGAACAAATGTTTTTCCGGTCAATTAAATTTTCTAAATTATAATAAAGTGGATAAACCATCAGAACTGGTGAATTAATAAAATAATTTTATTATGTTTTTGAGGCGCCAAGTTATTGTTACAGTTTATTTTTTGGTGTATTCCAATTACATAATTTCAATTAGCGTTTGCAAAAGATATATTTGACAATAACAAGGCAATATTGACCTAGTAAAACTAAACACTCAGCTATTCTTGGTACTATTTGTTTTGTGTATCTTTAGTTTTAAGCGAAACATTTTTTAAATAATTTTCATTTCCCAAATTCCAAATTTAAATAGAATAAAGCAATAGGACAATGGTATTCCCAATCAATAATACATTTTACATTAGAGGTTTCTATCAAGAACAAATTAAGAAAACGTTTTTAGAATAAATAGGAATAAATTTGGAAAAATTGTAATTTATCTGGAAAGAAAAATAAAAACGCAAAACTGACTGCAACTGACCTTAGAGTATTATTTACGTTAATAAATACATGTGAGTAGTAAATTTTAAATAGTCCCAATATTTAGCTCACGTAAACACTTAAAAAAATGTTGTGATGGTGTGATTGAATTTTGGGTGCAAAAATTTCCGCATTGAATTTACTGAATTTGAATTAAATTTCCATCGAAGGCAGTGGCGTATCATGCGAAAATTAATAAACATAGGCTTAGGTTTAAGTAAACAAACATGACGTAATTACCGTTGGAGTGATTTAAATAATGCGATATCAATTCAAGTGTTTCATGGGAAAACACTAAATTGCTACAAATTACAATTGTCAATTGTTTGTATTGAGGGTTTTGGAAAAGAAAATTAGCCGGCATTTCGTGTGACGTTTCACGAATTTTAAGTAAAATAGAGGTGAATTAAGTTGAATTCTTACCTAAATAAATCTAAATAATCCACAAATATCACAATAAGCACAACACTACCTATTATAAATAATATTCTAATAAATTCGCGCTCAACACGTTGTACTTGTGAAATGAATATCCAAACACTGCGCTTGCCATTTATCTGTTTCGGGATGTGGTCCTATGTCAGACCATGCGCCACAGCCAATGGTGTGTTTGCGTGGTTTGCTCGTGCTCCGTGAATGCCGCTGAAAAAGTCTGCTGGTCGATACATGGGAATCTTTCAACAACCCATCAAAGAAATTATTTTTTTTGATTGCCGTTTCAGGAGTGTTGAGGGTTGTTTGGAAAAGATCGATTTTGGGGGTACTTTTCATTATTTAGAAGTTTATTGATTGTTCCTCAACTTCTTTTTCATTTTTGCCAGGTTTCGAATACGGCACACTAATGGCATTTTTACTGTTTGTGGGTAACATCAAAAATTTGCGCTAATTTTTACAGATCAAATACTACTATTCAATCAATTTTTTGTTAAACAAAAATAAGTAACTTAGACCTTTATACATGCAGATTTTTTTCTGGTTGTAAGACAATAAGCAATATAGAACAGAACGAGAAACTGAAGATATTAACAGAATTTCTATTATTGAGATTTTAAAATTTTGTTAAATAATATACAGGGCTGTTCGGTCCTAATCTTAACCTAAACTTTCTTTTTTTTTCAAAAACTATATTTTCAAATAATACTATTCATTTCTCGTTTTCCTAGTAAATGCATCATATTTTTTGGCACATCCGGTGTAGCCGGATATTATTACATTTTACTTTACATAAAGCACTCAGAAAACAATTTAAATTTTTGAATTTTATTGCAAATTTTGCAACCTAGGCGGATTTTACTTGTAAAGGTATTTATGCAAGAAGCAATATGGATACCGTTTAATTGTTAGTTTGACAAAGCCTAATTTGTCAATAAATCTTATTGAGATCTTGAATAATGGATGATATTAATTACGATGAATTGGTAGAGATAAGCTTGAAGTGTTTTTTAAGTCCAATAAAAATAGAGCGGAAGCTGAAAGACAGTGAAGAGAAAAATACTCAAATCGTTGGAAATTTAGTCGAATTGAAAAACAACTGAGACAAATAAGTTCGCTTCTTAAAACTAAAAAACCTGTGGTTCTTTGTGAAGAACAAGAAAATAGAAATCTGAATGTTCTGTTATCAGTCGAAGAAAATTCAAGAGTTTTCATAAGAGAACTCGCTCATCAACTGACAAATTAGATTTGTCAAACCAACAATTAAACTGTACCTAAGCATTTTTTTATTCACACCTTTCCTTTAAAATTAAAAATCAGTCTACGCGACCAATTTCCTTTTGAAATTCTAACATTTAAGATGTTTTTTGATTGCATTGTATTACGCAAAATGTAATAAATAGTGGTTTACAGTATTTTTCATGTCAATTATTATTGTTTGGAGGACAAAGAACATAGGTGTTCCATTTGAAAAACTAAATTTGGTAGCATTTCCGGCAACACCGGATGTGCTAAAAAAATTAATAAATTTATTAAGAAAGCCAAGAATGAATATTATTACTTAAATATTTACTTTTTGATAAAAAGAAGTAAGTTTAGGTGTTATCAGCCGGGGCGACTTGGACCAAACACCCTGTATATAATAAAACAATGAAAAATAGAAAGTATTAGAAACTTATAATTTTATTAACAATTTTTATTCACATCCAGTGCTTATAAGGAAACTCAGAAGATAACAATAGAATAAGAAATATATCGCTAAGTCGAATAGGAGTTATGTGTATAGCATTATCTGAATTTGTAATAAGTTTATACAGGATGTCTTAGAAATCATTTAAAAAAATTTTTGATAAGTCAAAATTTAACAATTTTTATATTACGAAAATTGTTTTCGAATAAAAACAACAGAAAAAATGTTTTTCGGTATTTTTTTTTATAGGTGCCATTGAAAGTAAAGTTTTTTCTTCCAATTATTTCTGAAACATCTTGTATAAACGATTATGTATTTCAACAATAATAAAACGATATATAAAAATAAAACAATTTTGGTGGTGCAGAATTTTCTGTCTTGTTTTTCAACAAGTAAATTTTCGACATTAAAAAAATACATTATGGGTAATTTACGAATTTATGAAGGTTTATACAATAATAACTCATTATCCGGCTCTAAAATAAAGTTACAAATTTTTTCTGTTGATTTTAAGAAATTTTCAGTATTATACATTTTTTTTTATTCAGTGTTTTTTTAATTTGCTATTTAAAATTTATATAACAATTTTATATTTTTATTATTCATGAAAAACAATAAAAAAGAGCTTAGAATCTGACAAGGTACTATTTTTCAACTTTCTTGACTCGGAGAATTGTCTCAAGTTTGTGATGTTTCATTATCTAGGAACATATTTCAGCCTTAATTCGTGGCAAATATCGTTATTTATTTCAGCGCCCATCTGTGTTTTTAATATTTTAAGTACAAAATTAGGTACTTCCGCACATAATTCTTTCAAGGTTTGGGAATCTGTTTTTAGAAAAATTTGCGATGCATGTAGTAAATTTAGTGATCGTGCTATTTCATTTTAGAGGTTGAAAAAAATAGTAGAATTAAATTTTTGAATAATTTGCAACACTCTTTTTGTAGTAACCCATCTACTTTGTTAATTTTACTGCTGTTTTTTTTACATAAAGTGACACTGTTTATTTGCTTTTATCAGTTAGAATTTGCAAATTTTGTTTTCATGGCAAAAATAATGGTCGGCCAAAAAATATGAACGTTTGTGAATCACTAAAAACGTGATTTCGATTATTCACAAAATAAGTCCAATTAAATCAGAGCTTTAATCGGTTTAATCTGTTGTGTAGTAAATGATAATGGCAATGGCGTGATCATCACACGAAGACAGTCGGTTCATTGCACCTGTGAAAACTAGAACAACTGAAAGTCAAGATCTTACTGAAGTGTGTTTTTCAGTGCTGTTGTTTCTATTTTTTGGGGCATTTTTAAGAGCAGGGTCGTAACATGTTATTTAAGATTGGCGAACTTGCTGAAATGTTCGGGTTTCAGGTTTTGTTTATTTGTAAAATCAAGTTATTAATTTTGTCAGGGTCGGAGAAACCTTTGAAGATGTTGAGATAATTACATAGCTTCCGATGAAGCTTTTTGAAATAACTAAGTGAAGTGTACACACCTACTCAAGTTCAAGGATATAGGTAAATAAAACACGCTGAGATGAGTGAAACAAAAATAAATCCTTTGTTGACATTTTAATATCAGAAATTTTTAAAGAGCTATCAATCGTCATCAAAATTTCTGCATTTGACAAAATTGGTGCAAAAATACTAATAATACTAATTGTAGAAAAGAAGAAAAGTTTTTGGTGGCACGCACATTAATGCTGAATGATTGTATATTTTAATCTAAACATGCCAACTTGTTAAAAAATAGATATCCATTATTGTGACCCATTATTATACGATGAGTAATTAATTGTGTTATTAATTTTTTTTTATATGAAATTACCGTTTTAACAATTAAGCGAACATTTGTTTGATAAAACGAGTGTCTTGTTCTTGTTTTTTAATGTTTTAAAACCTTCCTCATTGGATTTAAAATACAGATAATTTCTTTGCGTTTTCCTATTTTTGGTAAACTAGATTTTATCAACAATATATACTAGTATAGTATAGCAGTTATAAAAAACGGTTTTATATGATTCGCAGATAATTTGGTCGTTTTTGTTTTATTTTTAAGTAAAATAAGTTGTTAGTAGATAAGTTAAAATTCATGTAAAAATAACATGAAACAATTGCTGTAGTAACGCAATTTATTTGGCATTTATTAACCAATCACGTGAAAATAATTTTTTATCACAACAGTTTAAAAATATTCGTTTGCCCGGTCAAATTATCAATCAGGTCAACAAAGCAATGTCAGTGTAAAAGCAAAGTCGAACTTGAACCTGGATTTCCATAACAGATAATAAAAAATAGGTATCGCATGAGTGACCTGCACAATCTAATAAAAATAAAACATCGATAGATCACCGCTAGTGTGGAGATATTATTTTGATCAGTTGAGTAATTTGTTATTCCGTTTAATTTTAGATTATTAATTTTGGTTAAAACAAAATTGTATCAAAGATGCTGCCAGTATTTAAATCAAAATAAAAAAAAATTAATTATTTTCTCACTTGAGTGCAAAAAACCGCAAATTGTTAAAATCAAAATTGTCAAATTTTTCAGAGATTTACATAGTGTGAAAAAGGTTGTTCACAAAAAGGTCTAGAAAACTATCAAAAGAAATGTTGTATTTGGTGGTCATAGTCAGTGCTGAAAACGAAATGGAAAAAAATAGAAAAACCTGATAGAAGTTTGGAAGATGCCCGACAATTATGAAATTGTGAATTGTGACCAGGACAACGTCAAAAAACTGGCATTTATTAACAGGCATTACATTATAAAAAAAATAATTTGCGTTTTTTTTGCACTCAAGTGTACAATCACTCGATAGGTAGCAGTATTGTTGTATTTTCTATTCCATTCGGTTTCAGTTGAGTTTTCTATTTCTAAAGTGAGTCAACTATGTAAGAGTATACTTAACATTTTTTGCTGTGTATTAAATTATCTGGTATAATAATTGTATAATGACATTTTTTATTATTAAACTTATGTTTAAAAATATAGAAAATGCAAAAATTTAAGTAGACCTACCTAACCTACTTTTAAGTGGAAATTTTTATGAATTAATTTGATTGGTTGAATATTATTCTGACCAGTACTGTCAGGTATCGTTGGAAATATTCCTTATCGGAAATACCCGAGAAATAATTATTAAAAACCCTCTATTATTTGGTTCAAAAACTACAAAAATTGCTTTTTAGTATTATTTTTAATGTGATTATTTTGCACCCAAATTATACTGAAAGGCTCAAAGCATTTTGATTTTGTGCTTACTATTTGGAGTGGAATTTTATTAAAATCGTTTTAGAATTTTTTCTATAGAGTGTAAAACACTAATTTATTGCATTTACATTAATTTCATGTTTAGGTATATAAGTAATTAAAAAAAGTAACTGTTTAATTTTAATACATAATGCATAACCGAATAGTTGTTTAACAACAGAAAATTTCCTGAGGTTTCTTTATTTTGTTTTTAAAGGGGACGACTAACTTTAGTGACGTAGAAATGACCTTCGCTGAGAGAAAAGGTTGTCTTGAAGTCATAGATTTTTACAAAAACGTTATTATGTAGATTTTAGTAAGTATATACCTGTTCTCTGTATGACTTTACTTGCCGGTAATTACTTCCCAATTTTTGGAATTACTTGTATTATAAAAACGAAATAAAAAATCTATTCAAATGTAGAGACAAAAGGCAAATCAATTACAAAACACATTTTTTGGCGTTATGTAATTTATATTTTTTGTTTATCAAATTTTGTTTAAATACATGTAAATTATTATCAATAATCGAATAATCTACATAAGCATATAATTATGCTTATCTATTTGCAATGCAAAGATTAATAAATAAATAGTTATTTTTGTTACAAACAAGTATCTAAAATACAGTTTTTGCGGACGAATCGTTGCTGTTTCCGGACGAATTTTTTTACGAAATAGGCTTCCTCTATTTATATAAAATGATTTTATTTTGAAAAACAGTTAAAAAAATAAATTAATAATGATTTGTTCTTTCGTCAAAATCATCATTAATGCATAATTTTCTTCAAAAAATAGTCTGGTAAATTTTTCATTAAACAAATTACATTTTCATTTTACTTGACGTTTGTCAATGCAAAATAAATGGCAACTTAATTCAAGTTAATTTAATTTTGAATTAAATTTTCTGTAAAGGAGTTTATCTTGAAACTACGTCAAGTTTGCAATTCGATAATTTACGATCCTGCCTGCTTGCGATTAGAAGGGTCGGGGCTGATTTATTAAAGCGTCATTTTCACTTTGTTTAACTGTACGTCTTACAAACAACATTTTTTGTCAAAGCTCCCAAAAAACGAATTTACACCTCTTATTAAATAAAAAAAAATTGTCACCATGGTAACCAAATTGACTTTTTCGTCCGGAAAAACTCTTTTTGGAGACTGATGAGTTCTTAAATTAACCATTTAACGTACTATTTTATTGAGTCAGGAAAAGACTCCTTTTAGGGACTCAAATAAGTCTCTAGGACAACTATTTTCCGGAGCGTATACAAAAAAAAATTGTTTTATTACTTAATTGAAATTATACAGGGTGTTCCGTTTTTATTGTTACAAATTTAAACAGGTGATAGAATATTCAGTTTTAGGACAAAAGTTTTCTATAAACATGTATCAAATGTTATGTAAGCGAGCTACACCCCCTAAAAGTGATTTACCACTACTGCAAGACAGATAAAATTACAAAAGTTGGTACTGCCAAGAAACCTTTCAACACCTGAACGAATTCAAAGATCAGATGTCGAAATTTTCACTCACGGCCATCTTAAACGATAAAACAAATTTCATTTTTAATTTTTTTCTTTGTATGGTCTGTAAGACAAATTGTAAACTAATTTTACTCAAAAAGGGTAAGTTGTATCGAAAAAATGCCTCTTTTTTGTGAAAAATTATGGAATATAAAAACGGAACAACTTGTATAAATCATACACACTTTTTATTAACAGGAGCAAATATGAAGGTTTAATTAGTTTTTAGTGCTTGCTTGTTTAGCTTGAAGCTCTGCTTCTTCTTCTAACAAAATTTCAACAGCTCGTGCCCGTCTTCGACAGAGTGGTGTTTTCGACCACCAAGTTTCGATTGCTTCTTCCTCTTCTTTGTAAATCGGTGTTTTCTTACACAACACATTGACGAGTTCTAAAGGACTCAATGGATGGACTCTCAGTTGCAACATTCTTTTTATTGTCATGACTTCCTCAAAAGTGCTTACAATTGAGCCTGCAAATAAATTACTAATCCCAGTTTTGTACCTTTTGCAATCATTGTTACCGATAGTGAAGCCATCGGATATCTTACTGACAACACTGGTGTCGAATTGCCAACTTATGGCACTATATTTGCTCAAAAGATAACTCCAAACACAATACCGTGAGCTGTAATCAGGTTTTGGAACGAGAATAAATTTCTGGTACACTTGTTGAAGTAATTTTTGGTCACTTTCCCACGGGCAGCTTGAAACGCCTATCAACATTACTCTGTCTTCAGGACTGAAATCTATTCCAGATTATTATTTTTTTCAAAATTTAACATGGACTAACTTTTCACAATTTTTGGCAGATCTTTTTTAAGTCGTTTGGGATCAGTTTTGTCCGTTTTTGGAATTTTCTTGACGAAAGGTCTTTCGGCGCAGTCCATGTAAATGACCGATGGTTGCAACAGTCTTGATACTTTGACCACCAAATGAATTAACATTGTCAATCCTGACTTTCCGGGATACTTTCCCACAATGTTGGAAGGAGTCAAGTCAAAAAGAACTGCTCCTGCTTCATTGCATACAGCGTGGATTAGCATATCCTTGCCACTTCCTTTGGGTCCAGCTATCATTAATGACTTTATGTGTGGAGTAGTTTGATGTAATTGGGGAGAAAGAAGTGGTAGCACACAGTATTCTGCTACAATTTGTCTCATATCTCCGAGAGCGATCGGTCGTTCACTCCCTTTGTTGTAAACGACAGGATAGCTGTAAGAACGCTCCCCTTTGAAGTCATCCAAATAAACATCTGGACACCTTTTATAAAAATAAAAAATAAAATAATCTCTTGTGAACACAGAAATGAATAATTAAGTGAATAAAATTAGTATTATTTCATAAGGGGACTAGTAGGTTTTGATGACTGGGGTAATTTGGGCCGAGAGAATCTGCTCTGATAATCCAGATCTTTATAGGATATTTTATGAAATAAATAACGAAAAATTAAAATTGAATTTCAACATAAGCAAAAGACATTAAATCATTTTTATTGACTTTTGTTTTTAATAGAACAGCAGCTCAGACTTTTGAAAGACAAAACATTTCAGGTTAAAACAGTTTAATTCAATCAACGCAATTTTTTTTACGAAGAATTGAATTTTGCAAAAAGAATTAAAAATAATGCTTGGACTACGGATACCGTAGCTTGGACTTAAGTCCACTTGCGCTTCCGTAAACAGAACTTTCTTTTCGTTTGATATCATTTTTATGACCTCTTTTGTAAATGGTTTTAACAAAAAGTGATTAAACTGTTCAACATTAAAAAGATCAAAACTTTAAATTTTAACTTAACTTTTAACACAACTTTGCACTCTATATTATATTTTATCGTACTTACTGTCTTGACTTTTCAGTTTTTTTAATTATTTATTTTTAAAAATGTAGTTTTTTGTAGTTCTACTTGAAAACAAATCAAAATCTGGTTCATTGTTACTGAAATAAGTATTTAAAACATCTCAGTTCGGCACTGAATAGACATTTTTTTGCGTTTATCTTTGCTGCACATTTACACACCTATATCCAATATCAACATAATAAAAGATAATGAGTAATTCTTAGGAAATGAAAAAGATGTCTTATCATTAGTTAATGTGTTTGCGAAAAGATATATATTGACGTTAATAGAAAAAGTAGTGCAAAGTTCAGTTCATTTTTTATTTGATACATATGAGACACGTACTCTTCTTACTAACTGTAAATTGTATGATGTTTTGCTAAGTAGGGATTTATTTATCAGAATTATTGTGATTGTGCAGGTTGTTATGTTTAATTAAGTAATTTTTATAATTATTTTTACATCAATTTATTTTGATTGAATTGGATTTGGTTGATTTATTTTCATTAGTTTTAAATAAGTAGGTACTAATTAAAACTAATTTAAACAAATTTAATGTACTAATGGTTAAAGATTAAAG